CCCCCCCCCCGAAGTCGAGCACCACTACTTAGTACTATGCTAGCTGAGTGCTGCACAAGCTGCGAGGCACGGAGCTCAGCAGGGGACGGGCATGTAAATCGACTACAATCGGTCAGCTCTCCAACTGCAGTGGCTGTCAAATCAAATGTCCGTCCCGCCATTCGGCGCTGTCCAAAGTGAATCTTTCGGAGATTTCGCTTGTCGTCGTGCAGCGGTTGCGCCAGCGGCTGAGGGGAAGCGCGTTGCGAGCTTCTGTGCCTCGCGCACTTCATAAGCCTGTGCTTTCGCATCGTGAAAGACTTGATCCCACTCATCTCGTCTCTCTGTCTCTCTGTCTCTCTCTTTGGTCTCTCATTGTCACGTCCGGGAGTCAAAGCAAGGCTTGGTTACAATGTCCACGACTGTCCAGGTTGTCGTGCCGCCAGTTGCAGGACACACCCGCAAACCGGCCACCTTGAAGAGCGAATGGCGAAAAAGGGATCCAAAGACATGGACCTTTGCCCAACGCTTCTTCGAGAGAGCTGACCTTTGGCCCCTTCCTCCCGAAGGTACGGCGCCGGTGCACAAGATCAATGATCCGGTGCCGAGACTTGCTCAAAGGCAAATACACAGGTTCTTGGTGCCAAAGCTGCTTGTCACCTTCGGCCTGCACGCCCTCATCCTCAAATTGATCAAGAAGAGAGCGCTACACCCTCTAGCAGCTTTCGCATTCTATTCGGGCGCTTTCAAGGCTATCAACAGTCGAGTCTTCAACTTTTGGAGAGTGCTTGGTGCCAAGCATGGGTTCTTGGACGGCGAACATGAAAGGGACGGCGTGCCTGATGGACACGAAAGCAAAGTCGCTCAGAGTCTCCTCTTCGTGACGACCATCAGACCCGTCCTGTCGACGTTCTTGGCCTACAACACAAGGGATCAGCCTTTCAGCATCTCGAAGCTCATCCCTCTCAAGCTGTCAATTTACACCGTCGCGCTTGACTATTGGTTTTACGTGTACCACAGGTGAGTCCGTTGGCTACGATTGTTAGGCGGCTCTGCTCTCATGCACCTCACACTTGTGTACAGGCTCATGCACGAGGTGGACTTCTTGTGGAAATTCCACTCGCGGCATCACAAGACGAAGCATCCCTCGACAGCTCTGACGCTGTACGCCGACGAATGGCAAGAGCTCTTCGACGCCGTCGTCATTCCAGGTCTCGCCTATCTGACGACCAAGCAGTTCATCTCGCTCAACTTTTACGAGTTCTTCGTCGTCATGATCTACCAGACCTTTATCGAGCTGGGAGGTCATTCGGGAGTTCGCTGCTACGCCACCCCTCCCAATGCTTGCTTTGGACTCTTGAGGTTCTTCAAGATGGACCTCGACATTGAGGCTCATGACTTGCATCACCGTCGGGGCTACAAGAAGAGCGGCAACTACGGCAAACAGACGCTCGTCTGGGATACCCTTTTCGGCACCAAGATGCCCCGCGACGAGACCAGGGACGAGCACATCGAGTGGAATCAGCACGTCGATGCGCCGTGGTACTGATGCTTTCTCGAATTGCATAGACGTGTAGATGTATGTATGTAATCGCTTGTGCCTAATAATCGACTTTGGCTCCGCTGCCCACTGCGTGTATGCGCGAAGCCCGCTCGCTGTTCTCCCTTGCAGATATCTTAGCACCACCCCGCCGCGAGTCATTTCGGGAGAGAAGCTGGTTTGACACGATCAAAGTGGCGCGCAAGGTTGGCTGGCACGTGTCTAGCCATCTTGACTCGCTCAAAGGAATCGGGTATGGGTGCAAGTCTTGAGTGCTGATTGTCGTTCCGGACAGACGGATGTGGGTGGCATGCTGCTCTTATTCGTGATTATTCACGAATCGTGGTTTGATTGATGATGATTGGCGTTGCCCTCAGCACACCTCCTGCCGCGTTGAACTTGGCCCGCCGCCCTTATCGCGCGAGCAGAGGGTCCTGATCCCCACATCCCATGCATCCCATGCAGCGCAGCAGCTGTGATGCATGTGCTGAGCAAGACATTCACCGGGCGCTTGACCAGGGTCGAGTCTTAAAGGGCTTCAGATCCCGCGCGCGTGATTCTTGATTGTCGTTGTCGCGCGCGCGCATGAACCCTATACTACTAGCTGATACAAAGTATGTATATGCTGCTGATGCACGCATGGCTACATGATTCACATTGAATAGCTCCACCTCGGAGAGTTGTAATCGTCCTTACTGGTACTTTGATTTGGTTGTAAGTGAGGGTCAGACAATGATAATTTGGATGATGCGTGCTGCTGTGGCTGATGCTCAGCTCGATCTGGCGGTCGTACAGCCTGGCCTCAGCTGCCGCTTGGTAACGGCGTCGTGGTGGTGGTAGCTGTGATCTTATCACTCCCAACAGCAACAAGCATCTCTCAACCTTTTATACAACCAACCTTCCGCTGATCGCCACGCCAGGCCCTGTGGGGAGTTTCAGCCTGAGATGTCCGCCCGACGTGCATCCACTGGCAGCGATGCTAGCACTGACTCCTCCACATCTGTCGATCGGCCTGGGACTCCATCATCCTTGTTGACGAGCTCGTCTCAGGAGCTGGTCATCATTCCTACCGGTGCTGCCAACTTTCACTCATTGGACACTTCATCACTGCACTCCGTGTCTAGCGACGAGAGCAATCAATCCTCATCCTTGGCCCTTGTAGAGCATCCTACTCGCAATGCATCCACCGCTGATCATCCAATCACGGATGCTTTGCTTTCGCCAACTATGACATCCTCCTCGCGAACTCCATCATCAGGATTTATGGATGACGATACTGGCCTGAGCGATGTCTCAAGCCTAGACGATGACGACTTTGAGCTGGTCGAACGCAGCGACAGGCCAAGCCATCGCGCCAATCTCGTCGACTCGTATATGGGCTCGTCTAGCGTTTCGCACCCATGGGCCTCAGATGAGGATCTGACGATTGAGACGACGCCCTTGCCAATCCTGCCGACATCCGCTTCAGCCGCTTGGTCGGAAGTGGATGCGCTGGAGACTAGGCTCGAGGACACGCACGAGCTGTTCCGTGAACGCAAGGATCCAGATGCGAGTCACGATATTGGGACGCCTGTTGGAACCTCGTCGACCTTCCCAGACTCCGCGCATTCAGCTACAAGGTCAGATTTCCTGCGCTCATCGAGCAATGCAACTTTGCTCGTCAATGCTCTGGAGCGAGCGGCCACTTCGACACATGCTTCCGAAGCACCAAGCCTGAAGACATCCACTTTGCTCCCTTCAGGAGATGCATCTCGCCTAATGGACGGCCGCCACTTTCAATTCCCTGATCCGACGCTTCTGCATCAGCTCGGTCAAAAGTCACAAGCTGTTGTCGCAGGCGCAAGAACTGACAACGCCACCGATGAAATGCCTGAACGCTCGGCAGAAACAGCTGGCTCCGAATGGCGTTCGTCATCCGAAAACTCTTCCCCAGGCGTCTTGGCTGCACGTCTCAAGATGGCGCGCTCCCTGATTGGGGCGGTCACACATTCCGCCTCGTCCATCAATGTCTTTTATCTCGGACGTGATCCCGGAGCCACGTACAGCCAATTGGTCTCTAACACCATCAAGACGAGTGCCATGACTGCCGTCGCAGCTGCTGACGAGAAGGACTTCACGTCGATCCGTCAAACATCTTCTTCACCTCTAACTTTCCGCACAATGCCGTCAGACGAAAGTGGACAAGGCAATGTCGTGGTGCGCTGCAGCTCGGTCGACTTCGTCAGTGGCAGAACACTGCAGGTGAGTTTGAGTCTGTTGAGAGTGTACGGCCGCCTTTCGAAGCTGACTTGACTGCATCTCGTGTCGCAGGTCAAAGAATTCTTCTGCCTCAGGTCTTTGTCATTCGGACCGGGCGAAGAGGCTCAGGTGCATTCTTGGCTGCAGGCTGATGGCGCCATGCACCTTCGCGACGGTAGCGGACTCGTGGTCTGCTTCCTCGAGAATGGCGAATCTCAGCAGTCACTTGCGATCGATCTGGCAGCATTGCTCCACAAGCACTACTCTCGCGCGAGATTAGGCAAAGATTCGCAAGCTGCAACTCGAACTCATCCGCAGCCTCACTTGCTGCCCATCGTCGCACCTAAACTTGCATCCAATCTGGACGACGCCGACACACCCTCCGCTTCCTTGCTTGTGAGCCCTCAACGAGATGAGAATATCTCAAGCGCAAGAGCTTTCATGGAAAACAACATCGCCCAGAACCTTGGGCGCTTCCTGCAGCTGCGCCGCATCAGCGAGGAGTGGTCAAGCGCGCTGGATCGAACGCGCCAGCTCTTGGCCGAACGCTCTGGGGCAGACATCACTCAAGAATCTGGGTTGTCCGTGGTCATTTGCTCCCAGAGCGTGGTGGATTCTGACGACGGTTGGGCTGGACGTGCGGTGCATCAGGTGGCGGACACAACGAAGCGGACAAGGGAGACCGAGCGTCGTTCTTGGCTCACAAAGTCCTCGGCCTGGCTCACAGTCACCCCTGCACTTTTGGCCACGACCTCTAGGACTTCTCGACCAACCTCAACAGAGCAGCGAGCTATCGCCAATGGAAAGGCCTGGCAGCGCATTGCCGCTGACGCGTCGAATGTCGCGCAAGCGCTACGCGGTCACGTTCCTGCGCTTGTTGATTTCAAAATTCGGTTGCGAAGGCTTGCGCCGTGGATGACCTGGTTACGCACGGCACACTTGCCTCACCTCGGTGCCGCCGTGGCCGTCCTCGTCGGCGTGCTCCTTACTACGGCCCTATCGAGTCTTCGACAGTCGCCTCAGAATAATCTAAACGCTTTCCAGATGGGCTCGTCGCACCAGCCCTCCATGACCGCTTCGAGCTTAGCTGGCCGCGCGAACATGTCACCTCTACCAGCTAGTGCTGCGGCCTCCCCTACTTTAGACGCTGCTACAATTCAAAGCATTCTGTGGTCCTCCAACACAGCGTCCACTCCGTCGTCAGCCGCAACAGTGTCACCTAAGGGCATCGAGCCCGCAATCCGTCACGGTCGCCTTCACAGCGTGAAAGAATTTACTAAGAAGCTCGTTCCAAGACCGCGAGCCTCTGCTGCACCGCTCCTGACCGCGCACGAGATGCGCAAGATATCACAAGGAAGCGACGTGGTCAGCCGCCAGGTCAGCTCTCATGAGGTGGCGGTTCGTGCCCACTCGCCTCACAAGGCTGTTGCGATCTACAAGAATCTTTCCACGCTACTGGGCACTGCGCCCGTAGACGGGGGCTCTATCGACGACTTCAAGTTCGGTGCTGCGCAGCTTTCAAGCCACGACAGAGAGCTGCCCGAGAATTCTCTGCGACTTTCTGTTTCGCATGGACTGGCTTCCGCTGGAATTGGACTTGCGATCAGCTCGACCACAGATGCGGCAAAAGGAGCTCAGGTGGTCCTCGCAACCTTGCATCGCTTGCAGTCCATCGTGCTTTCTCATCTGCACCGTACGTGGGACGATTGGGTTGCGCACTTGTCGAAGTTCCACTTGCAATTTGACAAGGCTGTGCAGGAGCAGATGTGGCGCGAAGCCATACATCTCCAGGCAGACGCCAGTAGGCTGTGGAGCGATAGCACGGACGCCATGCAAGCTCATGTCCAACTTGCTCACCAATTGGCCAGCGTCCACGCCGCAAAGTTCGCTCACCTGGCGTCCAAGAAGATGAAAGACGCAGAACAGCCTCTCGAGGACTTGAAGGAGCAATGCGGCTCTTGGTTCAAGAAAGCCAATCATCAAGCCAAGCCTCTCTTTGCAGAAGCTCGACTTGGCTCTCAAATCATGTCTGAACATTTACGCAAACATTTACGCGGGCAAGCCCACTTTGCAGCAAAGCACGTCCGCAAGACTTCAAAAGTCGCGTCAAAGCATCTCCGCAAGCACTCCAAGATTGCGGCCAAGCATCTTCGCCAGCAAGCTCGAGCAGCGGCGAAGCATGCGCGCAAGAAGTCGAAGATCGCATCTGAACACTTTGCCAAGCAGTCCAAAGTTGCGGGAACACATCTACTGAGACATTCCAAATCCGCTTCTACAGAGGCGCTCAAGCACTTCGCTGTGGTCGAGGATGCCGCTGCCCGCAAGTCAGAGGAGGCTCGCGAGATGCTTCGAGAGGCCTTCGAGGAAGCTACAATCGCTGCTCATCACATCCACGGCAAGGCAGGCGAGCATTTGGCCCGAGCACGTCAAGAGTGGGGCAAACTAAACCTCGAGCTCGACGAAGCACGTCGCGCTGCCGGACATGCTGCGCACGCTCGCAAAACCCGCGAAGATCCTGAGCGCAAGCAGAAATCGAAAGCGCAAAGCAAGCAGGGCTGGAGATCCAAGAGCCAGCATACTCAATCAAAATGGGCACGTCGAAAGGCTTGACAATCTGATTTCTGCTCAGATTGTCGGGCCAACTCCACGAGCATCATACGCTTTGCGGCACAGACAAGCCCGTATTTGGTACCCTGCCCCATCAGTCGACCTTCACCTCTTCACTCACACTTTGACGACCACGACAAGTACAGTAGCTCGTAATTTTTGTCTCTCATTCACGCCCACAGCCATCATTTGTTCTACCACCATCCCATACACCCGTTCATATGTTCTATACTCAACCCACTGTCGCCCAGCTATCCGCTTATACTCACGCTTTGAACACAGATCGAATCTCTCGAGTCTCTTTTGCATGTCATGACAAGTGTGTCGGATGTTGGACTCCACAAGACTTTTGAAAATCCATGAGCTAGCTAACAAACGTTACACATTGGGTCTAGCAAACGCGACTTGGCTTGACGACTCGTCAGGTCGGAAATCGACGGCACCAGCACGGCCCAGACGTATCGATCCTTATGATCTCGAGGACATGCGAAAAAACAAGCTCTGACTGCGAAGCGGTTTGCGAAGCACGATTCACTGATTGGCCTCATGGTGAGGGCGGGACGCCATACAGTACCGTTCCGTCCCGCCATGGCACTGATGCGTTGTCTTTGTCCATGACAGAAATTTCTGCGATCTTGATGTCATTCACACTTCTGAGAGCCATGAGGTCCGACTTTATGGGTTCACAAGACAAGGGTGATGTTGGACCGCATCAGATGGCGCTATCATGCAAACCACGAATTGCCTCCGCTCGAGCTACACAGTCATATCTTGCAAAAGCGCCTAAATCGGTCTCGAGGTCCTGCTCCGCCAGGTTTGCAGGTGACCGCACATTTAGCAGAGTGCTGCCAGCAGTTTCGAGTATCAAAGAGGCGATTACTCTGTCGGTACGATGAGCTCGGTCGGTGGGCGGATCTCGTACGCGGTGTGCTGTGAGCGGTCTTGGAGCTCGGCTCTGCTTTCACGAACGGAGGCTGGACGGAGCGGTACCGTCGCGAGTGGCTGTCAGTTGCTCGCGCTGCCGCTTAATCGGCACACAAATTTGTGGGTCTCCGGACCCATCGTCAGCTAGCTCGCTTTGCGGCACATTTTTGGCCAAAGGGAAGCATCAGGTACACAATCAACAATGAGGATCGTACGTGCGGCACAATCTCGTGGGCTGTATACGGTGGCAGACGCTGCGACGTGGAACGTGCGCCATGCAGCTATGACCGTCTTTCGAAGAGACTTCTGCCATTCTGATTGTTTTGCGATGGCAGCAAAGACGCTTTGCCCGGCGCTAGGGACCCAATGAAGAACGCCATCCTGCCTAGATCGATTTTGTCGGGTCAATGAGAAAGTAGTGTAGGAGTCGAGTAGAAGCAGAGATTGCGCTGGTTCGTGATTCGTGCTTGTCGTCATGGACTGACAGAAGCAGTCATGCATGCTCTCCGAAGCCGAGTCGCCGGCGCTAACGATGCACTTATTGCGGCGATGCACGACTCATCAGACTGGATTGCAGCTTCGGTCGCGCAAAAGCACACACACAGCTTCATTCGTGATTTCTGAGACGCGCGGCTCGACGCTGGAAGCGGGCCCAGGCGACTTGACACCCAGCAGGCCAGTGGTCGGTGTGGGTATTGATAGTGGTCGTCCAATGCAACGGGACGCTACATACTGTACAATACCTACACTTGGGCGACGAAGCGCCGGTATTCTCTTCCAGCGCAACGGTTCTGCGTCGGACGGACGCAATGCAGCTAGCTTGCCGCTGTCTGCAGTCAATGAGTGAGTAGCGCTGACGCTGGAGGGTTATTCGCTACCTCATGGTGGAACGATGTGGCACACGGACCGAGCTTGAGGCTTGAGATGTGGGCTGCCAACAGGCACGATATGCGGCTCTGGGGATGAGACCAACATGAATGCAGCATTGGGTGGAGGGTGAAGCGTCGTTGACTGGGACTGGCAGCCCTGATACTGCAACATCGGTGGTCTCTGATGAGAACATCGGCTGCTCACGCCACAAGCGCTCCCCGTGATCCCACTTCCATCAATTTCGAGCCCATCCCCGTCCATCTGTCAGGCGAGGTTCAGGATGGATTCACTACCGCAGCTACTCCGGGACTCTATTGCCTTCTCAGCCGTAGTCTATGTTCAGACTGGCATCGTCGCTTGGGACTTTGCGACTACCTTGAACTTTGACCTGGACGTCGTCAGGGGCAAGATCTCTCGGACGTGGCCATTGATCTTGTGTAAGTTTCTGGACCGTCTTGCTGCCGCATCGATGCGCCTCGGTACCTGACACTCGACGCTGTCGTACCGACCATCAGTCTTTGGTACTCGATACGGCTCCATCGTCGCGTGCACTGCCCTGCTGTGCCAGATCAACGCTTGGCCCGGCATATCATGTAACACGACGTGGATATGGGTGCGTCTGAACGGCCCATGGGTCTTTCTCTCGTCGCGTCGACAGCTTACTCGAACTGCATTTGTGCCATTTTAGGTGATCATCGGCGTCAAACTCCAAAAATTGTTCGCTGAGGCGCTGTTCGCGGTCAGAGCCTCTGCTGTTTGGGACCACTCTCCCCTCGTCATTGTGGCGGTGGTCAGCGGTCTGCTGATCAACACTGGTATCGGCTTCGCCACTATCGCAGCTGCTGATTGGCGTTGGGAGCCACCCACGAGTCCTGGCCTGACAGTCGGATCTTGTGTACCCATTGCTTGGGGTTGGAGTCTAGGCGTTGCGTACATCTGCACCCTCGTCTATGATATTTTCCTAGTCACCCTCATTTGCACCAGGCTTTGGCAGATGGGCCAACGCACCCGATCATCCGCCTCTGCTCTGATTTTCAGAGACGGTGAGTGACGCCTGCTTTTCTTGCGAGACGTGACGGTGGCCGCCTCTCACGCTGATCCGGCCCTTCAACATCCGTCGACGTAGGTGTCGTCTTCTTGCTCCTTACTATGGGACCTACTGTGGCCGCCGTCGCTCTTTACTACGCGGCGTCGACTCCACCAGCACAGTCATCAGCAATGACCCTTTCCGCCACTCTCCACTCCCTTTGCGCAGCCAGAGCAGCCCGAAATCTGGAGAGCTTCTGCTCTCGTTTGCCCGTTTCGTGGAGAACCAAAGTAGCAAACGGCTCGATGCTCGACCAGGACACGCTGGCTAGAATTGCCGGTCACATTGGAGCGTACCGTCACCCCGACGTGGAGATCCAAGAGTACGGTGTTGCCCACAACAACAGTCCAAACCTGAGAGGCGGTGACTCTGGCTCGATCGCACCCATCAGCGAGCCTGGTCACTCCCCCAAATTGAGCACCTCGCGCATGGCGTGGCTTCAGGAAGCCTTTACGGGTTTCGCGCCTAGTCGAGTTCCATCGCGAACTCATCAGATGACCAAGGACGTCTACACATCTCCTCGGCGAGGAAGCACGGGCGGTCCTACTTTCAGCAGTGCGGGTGGCATTCGAGTCGAGGGGTCGGCGTTCCAGTCCGAAAAGCAAAGCCGCAGAAGTCCGTCGCTCAGGAGTCCTAAAGATCCACACGATCTTGACATCGTGCGCCAGAATCGCTCCGTACCTGGCATCAGCATCGTCACCCAGCAGGTCGAGACCGAAGAAGTCTTGTACAACGAGGGTGCGGGCAGTGCCTCTGCAAGTGCATACTCGGAGCAAGCGCCGGAGCTTTCCCCTAGGAAGTTCTAGTCCTGGAACACTTTTCTTCCGCCTCCGCAATGTGGTACCGATAACCTTGAGTGATGCCTGACCCACACGCCTAGCCACTTATTTATACTTACTTTTCGTTCTAATCAAGCTGAAAGGCAATACACCTTCCTTCTGCAGCTTTGTACTACCCCTAACATTTTGTGTGGTTTTGATACAATCTTGCATGCTCACGTCAACTTCCGTCGGTCGTACATTGTGAATGTCGGCGGCGAGCGCGGTCCACTTGAGCTTCGACGACAGTTTGATTCGAAGTGGCTTGAATGCACTGAGAACCAGACGAAGTGACGGGTACTGCGCAGTGTCCAAAATGGTTGGCACAAGAGTGTATCTCGGATGCAGGGAAATCCTGAGCAAACAGGTGCGCGGCGCGGCCTCAGTCCAATCGCGCCATCTAGCGTTTCATCTGCAGATTTCCGAGTGCAGCCAATGCTCGCCCAAGATATATTCCGTGATTTGGCAGTGACACCGGCGTTTGCAAACATCCAAGAAAAGTTGTCTCGACGCGCATTGGAGTCGCAGAGAAGCATGCGAGCACCACGTTGCGCCTGTGCTTCAACCCCTTCTGCTAGGCGGGGGAGGCAGCAAGGGGCCGCCCCCGAAACCTCCACCGCCCGAGGAGCTTGGCGCATCTCGAATCTTCCTAGCTCCGCCTCCTGGCAGCTTGATGCTGAATGTCTGGCCTTCTTTGAGGCTGTAGTCCTGCTTGGGTCCTGCGGGGATGTGTGGCGAAGGTCCGCTGTCTACTGCACCTGAAGTAGCTGCTAAATCTTCTCCTCTCGCTGCGGCCTCTTCTGCTGCCTTCGCCGCTTTGTTCCGTCTGCCAACATATTGCAGTGAGCCTGAATGCACCCGCTACACTTGTGAATGCAGATGAGACAGGGGAGCAAGAATGACTCACTTTGTCCAGTCCTGCAGTGCTACTTGGAAATCGAAAGAATCTGATCTATCCTGGAAACCCATACCGATGAACGCCCTCTTCCCGCCTTCGTTCTCCACACGCAGCACGAAGTATCTGGAACTGTCCAACACAGGCTCGACGCTCTGACCAGACAAGTCGTAGGGAGACAGCGCGAAAAGCTCGCCTGAGGAGGGAGGCGGAGAGTCAAGCGGTAAGACATGGTGTCCCTAAGACCGAAGCCGAGTTGCGGCCTTCGCATTGCGCCGAAGCATTCAAAGTTGGCAGACTCAGATTCGAGATGCTATCCTTCTCCCAGCCCTAGCCCACGCTTCGGGATCGCCGGACTCACCGCTGTCCTTGTCTTCCAGTCTGATACTGCATGCGTTTCCCTTTTCAATGACTCTCAGCCTTCCTTTCCACAAAAAGGCCTGAGGAGGGATGCGTCACAACATGGCACAGACAAGATTGCAAGTCAGCAATTGAGCAATATCACCAGCTGCGTTCTGCTGATTCTACGCACCTCCATGTCACCCCATTCTGCTGCTTTGTAGCCTGCCGCAGACTTGCGAGGCGGGCTGAGCGCAGTACTCTGTGATCAGCAAGAGATCGGCTGTGTGGGCGATCGTGCACTCACACCCTGTATACGTAGCATTCTCTCGCGACGAATAGAACCGACTCGTATTCCAAGTCATCCATGTTGACGGTTCCGCGCGAGTGTGTCTGGCGGAAATTGGTGTGAGCAACGGGAAGCTAGGTATGACACAGCAGGGCACAGCAGGACACGGCAGGTGATCGCTGCAGAGCAGATACGCTGGGAGAGCCAGCTCAAAGAAAGGAGCAAACTTGCTATAGGCGTCAATCGAGGTGGTGGACTCAAGATTGAAGGCGTAGGTGGGATGTGATGATGGGGATGGGACTCTGGAAGCACGCGGTGCTCCTTGTCTATGGCTGCACGAATCGGCGTGCGCACGTGATGAGCAACGTCGTGATCCGTGCGCAGCCATCGGCATGCCGCGCCAGGCGCGCACCCGACTCAGGACTCACGACTGCCGCTCGCGCCATGATCTCGAGAGATTCCCACTCGTGACTGGCATGGGCCTCCACTTGTACCGTACATCTTGATGCTATATCCGTCACCGTTAGCCTAGCTCATTCCGACCCACAAACTCACGACTCAATCCAACTCCTCACCTCGACCTGTCCTTCGCAACGACTCGATACTCGCGCACCCTCACTTTCGAGTGGTTCTTGCATTCTGAGGTCACCTTCCGGGGCACACACACACAAGTCCAAGATCCTTTAGCTGCAAGCGTATGCTCATATTGCACTCTCACTAAGCTTTGGGGCACAACATCGCACTTTCTCCTCATCTGCCAGTCATGTCGGCTCCTATTGCCACGCGCATAGCAAGGCTGGATCCTCCCAGGACGGCGCTCTTTATCTGCGATATGCAAGAGAGATTTACTCGGGCTATTCACAGGTTTGACGCGGTTGAGTCCACTGCTGCGAAGCTGATCAAGGCTGCCAATACGTTGGACATACCCATTTGGACGACTGAACAGGCTCCCAAGTGTGAGTGATGCAAGATGGACGCTCGTGCGAGAGCTGCTTGAGGGTCCTTGAGGCACAAGACGCGTACTGCTGGGTACGTGCGGAGGCAGAAAAGACGATAAACCACGGTGGTCCTACATGCGTGCCGGACAGGATTGGTCTTGTTCTGATTGTGCATCCCGTCTGAGGAAGACAAGGCTCTGACGAACAAGTGCACCGCTCCGTAGCGCTGGGATCGACGGTTCCTGGCCTAGCGGCACTGCCCAAACCATCGACAAGCAAGACCGTCCCCAAGACGAGATTCTCCATGGTCTTGCCCTCTTTGAACGAGTGGTACTCAACTCTCAAAAATGGCGCACCGACAGGAGTGGTGCTCGTTGGCATAGAGTCGCATGTATGCATCACACAGACAGCTTTGGACCTTCTCGAGCAGGGCATCCAGGTCTGGATACCTGCTGATGGTGTGAGCAGCTGCAATGCTGCCGAAGTACCGCTTGCGCTTGCGGTGAGTCGAGTCAGCCAGGTGCAATGCCTTGCCTGGAAGCTCGATAGCTCATCAATTGCAGTCGTATGCGCTCCATGCGGCCCCAACCCCGCAGCGCCTGAAGGAAGCTGGCGCTATCGTGACAACGTCCGAGTCCATTCTCTTTGAGCTCATCAAGGATGCCGTGCATCCAAAGTTCAAAGACATTCAAGCTCTCATTGTGAGTAGGCTGTGGCCAGGACAGTGGGATATCAGAAGCGCTGCGGATGTACACGTTACTCTCTGAGGCCACCGTATTTGCGCTTGCGCTCTTCATCTCACCCTGCGACTTTCTCGCCCATCGTTTCGCGCTCGCAGAAAGAGGAAAAGGCCAACACTACTGAGAATTTGGAAGCGCTTTCGGGTGCTAGCGGAGATGGCCAGTGCACCATCAGCTAGGTCCTCTGAGCCCGCACTACCCATACCGTCTCCACGTCACCTTACTCTGGTCTGCGATCATGCCTTCCCAATCGAGTTCATGCCGCCCTAGCTCGCTGGTCGCCGCCTGGCCAAAGTGGACGGAAGTCGTCGAGAATGTCGTTCATGTCCCACACTGGCCATCTTTGAATCTCGAGGCTGCATCTGCCGTAGTTTGGCCAGCCGGGACATCGCGCAGCGTCTTTCGTTCAAACCCGCAGCCCATTCAATTTAGGGCTCCACCGTGATCCTAGCGCGACTCGCTCGGACGATACACACACACGATAGTTGAGTTGATGCCAAGAAATGAATTCATTGGAATCATTAGAAGCCAAGACAATCGAATCGCACGTACTCCACCTGTCAATTACCCTGATCTGAGCTGCATGCCGCCGAGATGTCTAGATTGGTGTTGGTTGAGAGTGAGCTGCTGGGACCTGCGAATGCAACCCGCGTCGCATGATTGCCGCTCAAACGCTCCAGCCGGCGCTCAAATTTAATGCAAGGAAACTCATCAAAGTTCATCGTTTAGTGGAAGGGATCTTGCACTCGCACTTGCGCATGGCGAGAGACTCTTCGATCAAAGCGTCGGCGTGGTCAGAGCTCGCGCTGTTGCTCGGAGAGATGGGGAGGATGGCGAAGCGTGCAACCCGCGGCCATCTTGAGCGGTGCGAAGCCTGCATCGCCATCTAGCCGCATCAGACATTCGAAGGACGCTCGCGGCGGAGAGGTGAATGAAGGGCGCGGTTGAGAAGGTGGGGTTCGTCACCATGATCAGACATGCGACCGTACGCCCATGACTCTTGACTCGAAGTCACGACTCAAGCCATCGCGAACGACGATCGCAGGTTTTCAGATCTGTGGTCCTGCAGGTCTGTCTACCGCTCGCCTTCCGTTCCACGCCCCTTCCTTGCATATGCTGCCGGTAGGAGCTTAGCGCGTCATTATTACAGCGGCAAGCGGCAGCCACGGGCGGCTACAGCTACCGTTTGAATAGCTGCCTAAGCAACGCGCTGTCCATGCACAGTCAGGTCACGTTCACGGGTCTCAAACTCGAAAGGTGCTGGCTCCCCCCCCCCCCCCTTTTCTGCTTGTTTTCCCGATCATTCACGATTCTTGAAATCCTCCACAGCCAGCACCTGCGCTCAAAGCGGCCCCAGCACCTTGAGATCAGATTCGCTCACTGCCGCTACCGTGCAACTCTTTCTCCATCTCCTCCCATCCACGATCTGACGTCAGTCGGTGGTTATCCGGATTCCCATCTTTCGCCTCTCCCTGCTCCACACCTCATTGCGACTCGTTTTGTCTGCGCCAAACGCAGAAAAGGAGGCTGATTGCAGCTTCATCGACGCCCTTCAGCGCACCCTTGTTCACGCCGCCATGTCGTCCGCTCGCCCATTGCCGCGTGGCCGAGGAGCTACGCTAGGATCTGGCAGCATATCAGCTCGATCGACATCCGTTGCCAAGGCGCTGCTGCTAAGCACCACACTTGCAGCCCATCTACTATCCAAAGCGTTCGCAACGCCTTTGAACTTTGCCTCGCAACACTTTGGAGCTCTGCCCTTTCCTGTGCCGGACGTTGCGGCATGGAGTCGGGTGGAGGAGATCGGGACTCTGCATCATGGTCACGAGCCAGAAGCACCAGAGAGCACTTTTCAGCTCGTGGTTGACATGGTCTCCATCGCTGTGAGCGGAAGGTGGCTCGGTTCGCATTCGCACAGTGCGCTGACAATGCATTCCTTCCGACTCGCTAGGGCTTGGTCATACTTGGTGGTATCTTTGCAGGCTTGACTCTCGGATTGATGGGTCTGGACATGGTCAATCTGCAGGTGTTGAGCACCAGCGGATCAGAGACTGAGCAAGACCACGCGAGAAAAGTGCTCAAGCTGCTCGAAAAAGGAAGGCACTGGGTCCTCGTCGTGCTCCTGCTGGGCAATGTTGTAGGTGAGGATCGCCCACCAAAGATGGTGCCTGCGGCTTGCGCCTTTCTGACCAGGTGTAATCCCTGACCCGCCTCCCCGCCCAACCCGCAGTGAATGAGTCGCTGCCCATCTTCCTGTCCGATTTTGGCGGTACAGCGGCAGTCTTGGTGTGAGTGCATACCGACAGCTCCCCAATGACGCATCTAGCTTACTGAGCATTCAGCCTTCTCCAGCTCCACACTTCTGATCGTCATCTTTGGCGAGATCGTCCCTCAGTCGATCTGCGCGAGGCACGGCTTGGCCATTGGCGCGTACTGCGCACCGCTCGTGCATGCCACCATGATCATCATGGCTCCCGTCGCCTGGCCCACAGCCAAGCTGCTGGACTGGGCTTTGGGCGAAGATCACGGGACGACTTACCGCAAGGCCGAATTGAAGACGTTCGTCTCTCTCCATCAACAGATTGGCACGGATGGACTGAATGAGGACGAAGTGACGATCATTCGATCAGTGCTGGAGCTGAACGACAAGACGGTTTCCTCGGTTATGACACCAATCGAGGATGTCTACACGATGAGCGCCGACACGATTATGAACGAAGAGAACATCAACCACTTGGTTCAATCAGGCTACTCCAGAGTGCCTGTGCACGAGCCTGGCAAACCTGATGCCATTATTGGGATGCTACTCGTCAAAAGGTTGATCACGTACGATCCAGAAGATGCAATGCCCGCGAGCTGGTTCCAATTGACACCTCTGCCAGAGACGAACCCAGACCTGAGCTTGCTCGACACGCTCAACTACTTCCAACAAGGACGAAGTCACATGATTTTGGTGTCGACGAACCCCGGAGAAAATCGCGGAGCCATGGGCATAGTGACGCTGGAGGATGTCATTGAGGAGGTCATCGGCGAGGAGATTGTAGATGAGACGGACGTCTTTGTGGATGTGCACAACAAGATCAAGGTGAGCATCGAGTGCTTCATCCAGCGATGGCGACGTCGAGGCTGAATTACATGCGCTATCCGCGACAGGTCGTTCGCAATCGACCTCAACAAGGCACCTCGGCGAATTACGCAGGCTTGGTGCAGGGCATAATTGAACGTCGACGCAAGTCAGGCATGATGAAGCGAGCAACACCGCTTAAGTCGGCGGGTACTGGAGTGAACAAAGTCGCTATCAAGCGACCTGGCAGTCCCTTCTCCACCTCGAGCCAGGCCGGCGAATCATACACTCAGCCGAGTGGATTAGCTGGGTTTGGATCGCCACGCAACAAGGGCGCGGTACTGGACGCAGCCAGGCGAGCGTCATCTACAGATAGGGGAACGGGTATCGTCGAGGGTCTATCCAAAGCTTTCACTCGCACGATGACATGGCCAAACGCTCCAGAGGGCGACAACTCTTCTCAGGCGAACGGCAAGTCGACGCCTGCTGTGAGTGGCTCGATAGGGGCTGCAGCGAACGAAGCCTCGCGCAGGAATAGCAGCAGTCGCGCGAGCGGATTGCCTGATGGCTCTTATATCGTGGAGGTGGATGGCGGTCGAACCACGCTTTTGGAGGTGGGCGATATTGCGGAACAGCCGGCTGCTGAAGAAGTAGCTAGGATTAGAGCGGAACAAGAGGCGAAGCAACAAGCCGCAAGAGAGGCACAGGCCGAAGAGGCAAAGAAAGCCAATGGGACCTTGATAGGTGCAGCAGAAGAGCAAGATGAAAGCAGACCGCTTTTGAGCGCTGCCAAGAGGATGTTTGGGGCGACGGACGAGCATGTGAACAAGACTCGGCCTGACCACGAGGCGTAGCATTTTGCCTTCTCTGGGAGTGGAGCCTACGCTGTCGTTTATGGCTCCACCGCCCAAGCCTTTGCCCCTTCCTATCCTCGTAAATTCTTTTGAGCTCAAGCCTGACGGACCCTTTACAAACAACTAATCTACCCCAAAAGCTTCGAGCAATGATTCGCCGCGCTCGCTTTAGCCATCACACTTTCGACGTCATCACTTTTGCTCGAATGGCATCACATAGCAACTTGCAGTGACAGTCTCGAGATCTGCCACCCTTCAGGCGTACTCGTAACGTCCGGAGCTTCTGCGAGCGAGAAGGACCTCGCTCTGCTCGTCGGAGAAGCGAAAGCGTCCCTTTCTGCTGTCTCTTGGTGCCTTACTTCCTGTCGAGCCCCTTTCTTTGATGCACAGCATCCCTCATCACGTAGTTGGTTGCCAGCATCTCTGCACGCGGCGGCGAGATGCGCGCACTCCAATTTGAGCGTTCAAGACTGCGGCCGTGCAGCAGTCACGAGTGCACCGTCAAGAACCCAACTGACCAGTCTTCGCGCTTTTCGCGCTTTCTTCCTCCGACCCATCGGTGCATTCACTTGGTGCATTGGTGCATGGCTGCTGCTGCAGCTGCCTGGTACCCAGCGCGCAGCGAGCAGGGTTGAGTTCGAAAGCATAATCACGATTAAATGTGGTTGTGAATTTGTAACCCACATTGTAAATTTGGATTTGGGCAGATACAAGAATTGGTCAGGAGCAGTGCAAAGCCAGCAGTTTGAAAATCGGGCGCGCGCGAATTGCCCGAGGGTGGAAGACACGACACAGCAGACGTGGAGATGAAGGAAGCAGAAAGATGTCTCCTACAGCCCTGCGATTCGCAGCATCTCCCATCACCATCGGCGATACGCCTCTTCTTTGACAGTGCAAAAGAATCGACTTTGACAGGGCTCCGCTTCTCCTTGCCCTTTCAGAAGTCAGACTCTTCATCATGAGCGAGCAGACTCAGCAAGCGGCTTTGGACGCGCTGGCGTATCAAAGAGCTCAATTACAAGCTCAAGAAGCTCACTTGGCCCAACAAGTCGCGCCTTCTTCGCCAAGCACCGCATCGGTAGGCTCCCCCGTCAACCCTTCTACGCCTGCTAGATCTTCGATGGGCGCTGCTGCAGCCAATGGCAGTCCTCTCGCCACTTCCAACCCCTTTACTACCAGTGCCGGACCTCAAAGCCCAACTATCCCCAGAAAGGACCCAAAGAGAGCTAGCATCGCTGCGGGCGCTGGCTTCAATCCCCTTGAGGCTGCGGCGTCTGGCGCTCAAAGTACCAGGTACGCTCCAGGAGGAAAAGTGCGCTTGACTGACTACGTGAGTCGACGCTCTCGGTTCGTAGAAAAGTGATGCCTAAGCGCTTCATCTAGGAAGCCCTTGTGTTCCGGTGTCTTCTTCTCGAGGCCGCTGTCTTTAAATTAGCATCACCAGCTGGTCTTGCCTCGTAGTCGATATCGCGCTCTATGCTCATCTTGCTCGCACCTGCGTTTCTAGGCTACCATCGCGAACGCGCCGCTCCCGGCCGAAGGCAATGGCACTTTCAGCAACCTTCACCTTGCCTTGCTCGTCTTCTTCACACCGGCCATTCTTCTTCGAGTGATCCCCTTCTTCAAGGCGAGCTGGGTCCCCTGGTGGCTCTACTGGATTCTGGTGATCGTGATCGGAGCTCCCGTGACCATTGGCTACTGGACCTTTATGAGCATTTGTGGACCTCGCAAAAACGAAAAGGTCAACTTGCCTGGAAAACCCGTCGAGGATTACATTACCATTCACGATGCCGAACTGAAGCGCAAGTACCACGGACGCAACAAGATCCCCATGCAACCTTTCCATGATGCGTACTTCGATGGCAAGATCGATATCAAGGGTGATATGCTGGACCTATTGGAACACAGGCTGGATTGGTCCCACATGCACTTTACGCCCGAACTCTTCAAATTTGTCCTCACTGTACTCGTCCCGGATGTCATCAGACACACTGAGAAGCAAGATATGGAGCAAGTGCGCGATCACTACGACCGAGGCGACGATTTTTACGAGTGGTTTTTGGGACCTCAGATGATCTACACTAGCGGCATGATCAGCGATCCCAGGCGCAAAGAGACTCTGGAAGAACTTCAGGACAACAAGATGGCAGCTGTTTGCAACAAGCTTCAGCTGCAGCCCAGCGACAAGGTTCTGGACATTGGATGCGGTTGGGGAACGCTTACTGCTTTTGCTGCCAAAAACTTTGGTTGCGACGTGACGGGAGTGACATTGGCCAAGAACCAGACCAAGTTTGGCAACGAGAGGATCGCAAAAGCTGGACTCTCTTCAGACAAGGCTCGCGTGCTATGCATGGACTACAGAGACATTCCAGTCGAAAAGGGTTACTACAACAAGATTGTCAGTCTGGAGATGGCAGAGCACGTAGGCATCAGACACTACTCCAAGTTCTTGGCGGACATCCACGAGCGTCTGGATGACGATGGGACGTTCTTGTTGCAAGTTGCGGGCATTCGACCTACTTGGCAGTACTGGGACCTGATCTGGGGATTGTTCATGAACAAGTACATCTTCAGGGGTGCGGATGCTTCGTGCGCCATCGGCTGGGTCATCAACAAGCTGGAAGCTGCCGGGTTCGAGGTGCAGTCAGCAGACGTTTTGGGTGTGCATTACAGCGCTACGATCCTGAGGTGGTACGAGAATTGGAAGTCGAACGAGGCGAAGATCAAGGCAAAGTATGGCGAAAAGCTTTGGAGAATCTGGTTGTACTTCCTCGCAAGCAGCGTAATCATTGCTCGCGAGGGTGGGTCCAGCGTGTTCCAAATCACCAGCAAGAAGGTGAGCGCTCGAGGACCTGCAGTAAGGCACGATTACTGCTTACACGTTATCATGTCGCTTGCCTTCGACCACCAGAACCTCAACGCTACTGATCGCGTGTCGTTCTGGGAAGGCAGAATTCAGCCTTCCAAGTACCAGAGCGTTTACACCCCCGCTCAGTACTGAGGTGACAACCGCTTACGCACGTTGCAAGAGCGAGCCAAGGGCTTGACTCGCCAACACCAACGAACGCGATTCGTCAAGCAGGCAAGTTGTATTCAAGCCAAAGCAGTGTCGTGCGTGTCCAGAAAGCGATCTACTTTTATCCGAACGCACTACGCTGCCAGTCTGCTCTCAAGCCCTGCATCCATTCCACCGATATCGGTTCATCACGCCCAGCTTACAAATCACGAAAGGTGTCGACCTCGAATGCATGACATTTTAGAGTACAAGCGGTTGTGTGCTCTTCTGCTGCATTGAATGTATCGGGCGCGCTAGGGTGCCTTGGATCCGATTTCGACTACCGCCGGCCAATGCTGAGCAACGTCGCGCGTAGCAGCTGGAAAGGGCAATTTCTGGATATCTCCAGGCAGGTAGACGTCTTGGCTCTCCTTGCCCGTAGCCAAGGAGCCATCCAAGAGCCTGCCGCTCTTGTAAGCATTTGCAGCTTTGCCCACCAGTGCTCGGATGGCGTCCCTCAACGAGACTGTAGCGCCGTCGGGACCTGGCACGTTGCCCTTGACCAGTATTGTCCCTGTACGATCGTCCACTCGCAAAACTTGCAAATTGTGCACCGTAGCAACGTGATTACCACCCATTCTTCCTGCCATCCTGCCGAAGGGAAAAGAAAAAGCAGTGTGCAAAAGGGCGGAACATCATGAGTCGGAGTGCTTCCAAAGGCTGGAAAGATGGGCCGGCCCGTCGCGAGAGGGACTGGAAAATGCCGACTCACTTTTTGCCTGGGAATACTCGACCTGGATCTTGATGCTGACCCGTACTTCCGTGCGACCTGTGACTGATAGACACACCGTGTGAGGCCCTCAGACCTTTGAATCCGTGACGCTTCATGGGACCTTGGAAACCTTTGCCTCGCGTGGTGGCCGTCACATCGATGTGCTGACCGGGTACAAAGTGGTGAGCTGACAAGTATGCTCCTGCCAACCAAGCCGGAGAAGGGCGCACGGTCCCGAGATGATTTGTGAGCGGAGCTGCTTTGAGAAGAGGTGATTGCTACCTCGCAGAACTCACCGAGCGGTACCACGGCATCCTTGGTGATCTTGAACTCCTTGATGACCTTCTTCGGGCCAATGTCGGCTTTGCGGAGGTGACCCTTGATCTGAGCAGTCACTGTGTGTGCTTTAGCGTCGACAGCAGCGACCTGCAGAGCAGTGTACGCGTTTGCGGGAGTTCCATCCTTGGCGGGGTCCAAGCCGATATGAGCCGAGATCTGATTCGAAGCGACCTGAAGTAGCGTGGCGGGTACGCATGTTCCATCTGACAGGAAAAATGTCGTCATGCCCCTTTTGAACGCTATGAGACCTACGCGACGAGAATTGGGAGTCCATTCGACGGGCAAGGTCGAAGAGATGGAGCTCGACTCGGCTGCGGAAACGGCCTCGTGGGAGGGAGCGGGTTCGGACAGATCGGCTGCAGAAGTTTGAGCCGTCTCGCTGACGGAAGCGGATGTCGAAGGACTGGCCGTCGGTGCTGACAGGATGACGGAGCTGGACATGTTGCGTGAGCTCGTGTTTGATGTGAAGACGCTCTTCGAAGATGAAGGGCAAGACAGTTCGGACGAGGCGATCGAGCGACTCAAGCTCAGGTTTGCGAGCGCTGTGGCAGCGTCACATTGCCTGGCATGAACTATCACGCTGCTGGTGGCTCGTCTAAGACCGGTCCGTGCTGGAATAGCGAATGCAGACATGTTTAGAAGACAGACGAGGAGGTGGGAGGGGGGAGATGAGAGTTGGAAAGGCAGACAGGAGATATTTCGACGAAGCTCGCAGTGGCCCGGACTGACTGGACGCGGCTGGAGAGGTGGGGGATGGCCGTGCAGGCTTGAAAGCTGCTGATCACAGGAATCTGTGAATGGAGTAGCCGCCAGGAAGAAACGATGGTGCTCTCTGCGTGCTGGGTGCTGCAGTAACGAAGGCGTCGATGTCGCGCACGCGCAGGCACGCACACGAACAAATCCAAGCAAAGGTGCCCGCCCGGCTGCAGCATGCGTTGATGTCGAGCCACGTGCCTTCAGGTCACGAGCCTGGGCACACGCGCCCGCGGGGTTCTGGCATGGCCGGCCGTGTGTGCGCAACCTACACCACCATCGCCATCGCCATCGCCATCGCCATCGCACGTTGACTATTGACCCACCACTCTTGACTCTCGTGCAATCATTGCGAACCATGCGCACGCGCCTTGCAAATCATCGGCATCCGTCGATTGCCCACGATGAAGAGGACCGAGGTAGCAGTCAGAAGCTCGATGCTTGCTTGACCCTTAATTGTAACTCGTCTGGTCACATCCTGCAATCATGACAGCGATCGATCGCGTCGTCCCATGGCAAATGCCGGCTCATCAGCTGCTCTATCTGTGTGATGCATGCGCGTTCACCAGCATTCACAAGGAGTCAGAGTGCAATGAAGGCCAGGTGGATGTTTATGGTCGCTTTGCATCATTTCAATCATTGTCCACGTCGATGCGGTCACCAGCCCTCGGTCGATCGAAATGAGGAAAAGGGCGGCAAAGACGCCGCCAGTCGTGAGTCTGCAGTCCACGTCTACGGTACGCTCGGAAGTCGTATTGGTCGCGGTCCGCGGTCACCGTCTGTCTTGTCGCGTTCGTTTCATGACATTCACGATTGCCTGGCTTGCGTGCTTGTTGTACATCGGCGCGACGAACGATGCGCCGAACGGCCGAGGGATGACTGTCTAGACGCGCGTCGTCCACTAGTGACCTTTTCAGTGAGTAACAGTTTGAGTCAAGAGTATAGAAGAGTGTTCAGATTGATTGAGCAGAAACCCAGATCAGTCACGCTTCGTTCTCACGTCCGCGTACAAGAGCATGGCTGCCCGCAGTCGCGCTCGTGATTCGTATGATTTTCGTGCTCCTCTGGCTCTCAACCTCCCGCCACTCAACGCACTTATTGGTCGCCACACTCACCACTCGCTCACAAGCTCTGGATATGTATCAATCACAGAGCATCTCACAGGATGCGGAAGCGATGACGAGTGGATCAACCATATGCCGGCAACCCTAAGTCAAAGCGGAGTTCGCGGTCGCGGTCCGACCAAAGATCAAGGATTGACTTGCACTCAACGTATCAGTCCCACTCACGTACCAATCACGACACTCGTGATTGCTACTACAACACTTCTCGGTGCGGCGGTGCACGGAAAGTAGATGCCGGAACAATAGGGATCCACAGTCAAGTGTCGCGCCAAAAATGATAGAGGTGCAGAGAGGTCACGCATAGGCTGATATCTCAAGGTCGACTGCGCCGGAACGCAAAGTTGGGAAACCTTTGAATGATCAAGAAGCAATTCATCAATTCGTGCTTCGTGATCGTCAAGGCCCCGAGCGTCGCAGAGGTGCGATTCCGCGGACTACATGTGGTGCTACATAATTTCTGCGTGCAGTCGTGGACCCTTCTGAGCGCTCTGCTGTGTATATGGGTGTGCTGCTGCTGCTGCTGGTACGCGGCCTTCGACAGCCTGCTTGCTGCTTGCTGGATGTGCGGCACAGACACGAGTCACGACTGTGAACTTCTTTTCTAGCGCCACCACACGAGATCAGCTATTCGCCCGGGGCGCTAGGCTTGGTGCTTTACCGTGCACCACCTGTGCGCATGCAGGAGTCACCCAACCGTGGTGTGTCCGTGGCCTGCTGAGCTGAGCTGTACGGTACCGGTACCTGCCTGCATTCGCGATTGTAATTAGACTTCTTGGTGGTGACGCTCGGATTGGTCAGCAGCATTTCACGATTCGCGCTTTGCATGCTTAACAAAGCCTTTCCCTCGACACACATTCACGATTCGCGATTTGTCAATCGTGGTGGACGCTTGCAGCCTCGTCAGTCGTGGGTCGTGCATCATCCGCGAAACGCTTTAAGCGAAAGTCCAAGTCACCAGTGGAACCTTATACATTGGCACGAGCAACAAAGGACGATCGAGCTGCGCGCATCCCACACATATGTCCGCGAGTCCTTTACGGGAAAGCGTCATCCCTCTTCCCTCGAGGATGATCGAACCCGTCGTACTCATATGCGGCACCGTGGTGCGTGACGTTAGTGGCAAGCTGAACATTGGGCCTGCGGGGCCCGACTTTGCTGACCGAAAGCACATCTCTTTGACACGCAAGGATCACGCCTGCGACGAGCAGAAAGACATTCTCGAGTCTGTGGGCACCGTTCATGTACGTCCATTCTAGCACCTCTCCTTGCGCAACACCCATCAGCCAAGGAATCCGGACTGACTGAAAAGTGCCGGGTATGCTTGCTTTGCTGACGACCGTCGCAGAAGCTCGAAGCGCAGACGAGGGAAGATTTCTTCGAGTCCCTCGCAGAAGGAGGTACTCTTTCAGGAGTGACGCACATCTACAGACATAACAGCAGTGCAGACAAGATTGGGGTGTTCGACACAGCTCTCATCGAGAGGTTGCCGAGCTCCGTCAAAGCTATATGTCACAATGGAGCTGGTGAGTAGGCTGGCTGCCTCACATCGATAGAAGAAAGATCTTTGCGTGGATCGCACCTCCCCATCCTTGATGACGCGTGACTGACGAACGAGTTGTAAATACTCGTCTGCGTCCCACGACTGGACGCGACAGGCTATGACCAGATAGATGTGACTGCGGCCACAAAGAGGGGAATTTGGGTCAGCCACACGCCTGGAGCGGTGGATGAATCAACTGCAGACGTAGCCATGTGGCTCATCCTCACATCGCTCAGACGGTTCGATCTATCTAATCAGAATGCCAAGCAAGGCAAGTGGAAGTCTGGCTTGATTCCCGGCAGAGATCCGAACGGCAAGACGTTGGGAATTGTAGGCTTGGGAGGAATCGGATGCGTGAGCACACACCACAAGTTCACGCGTTTCATCCTCCTCGTCTGGCTCATCGGAAGATTGACGAGGACTGTTCCCCCCTCCCCCACTTTACAGGCCCTCGCTCGAAGAGCAGCGGCCTTTGGAATGTCCATCATCTACCACAATCGAAATCCTTCACCATCTGCACCAAAAGGAGCAAAGTACATCTCCTCCCTTGCAGAGCTGCTGAAACAGGCGGACGTGGTAAGCCTCAACTTGCCCCTGAATGACCAGACGCGAGGAACGTTTGGCAGAGAGCAATTCGAGAGGATGAAGCACGGAGCTGTGCTCATCAATACTGCCCGTGGAGGTGTCGTGGACGAGGAAGGAATGCTCAAGGCGCTCGAAAGCCGGCAGGTGGGTGAAGATTCTGCTCTCGTGAACACAGACGCGCTTTCATCCTAGTCATCTGGCTGAGCTGTTGTGGTGCGCGCTTCGACTTTCAAATGCTCAAATCTGAGCAGCTTGGCGTAGCAGCGCTAGACGTCTTTCCAAACGAACCTCACATCGACGAGCGTCTTCGCGATCATCCAAAGTGAGTCCAACTCTGGATCAGCCCGCGGAAGGAGCATTTTTTGGGGGACATCTAGCCAGTCTGCAAGCTGATCGCTAGACGATCCTTCTACGCCTCCCTGATTGCCGCGCCAATGTCTCCCATCTTTTCATTCCGACAGCGTCATCGTTCTGCCCCACGTCGGCACGCAATCCCTCGACACGGAGCACAAGATGGAATTGCAGACTTTCCGAAGCATCAGATCTAGCATCGATCGTCTCTTGCACAATGCAGACGATGCGGGTAAACCGGACTTTTTGGTAAAGGAGCAGCAACACCTCTAAATTCACGATTTCAATTTGCCCCAGCTTGCTCCAACTTGCGCCTCCCGCGCTATCTTCCGGCATGCCTGTTCGTTACTGCGTATCTTTATTTGCCTGCTGGAACACTTGCAATTTCAATGTTCACTCACGCCCCTAGCCCATGCCAAGGACGGACTAGGGAAGCCTTCGCACTGCCAGCACAAGCGAGCCAGGGGTTCTTCACAACTGTGCAGTCAGAAGGGGTAGTCCAGTACATTTCAAAAGAAGGTGAAGAGCGAAGGCTCGCCTTGAAGCGAGGATTGTCGAGTGCGGTCACGCGGTGCGACCGATCCTGTATGTCTGGAAGACGAAGCTGAGCAGAAAGTCTCTCCATCTTGCGGGCATGAGCCAGAGGAGGAAGGCCACTGTGGTCCGTGCACTATGTTCCGGGACAGGAGCGCGTGGATTAAGAAGAGGTGCATGCAAAAGCTCGACTTGGAATCCCACACAACCACTCACCCGCTCAAGATGTAAGCTCGAGGATTCTTCTTTGTGACGGCACGTCTGATGTTCTTGGCAAAGACGTGCGCAGGCGTGTTCCTACCGATCTGAGAGTACATTGCTCTGTACTGGATCATATCCTCCACATTCTTGTAAGGAGAAGAGTCTGCCACAGAGATTCCTTTCGCGCCCGCATCTCCAATGCTTGACTGGATGGCTCCTGGCGCTACCACGATCACTTTGATGCCGAATCCTGCGAGTTCGCTTCGAAGGCAGTCGGAAAAGGCATGTACGGCTGCTTTGGACGAGGCGTAGGCTGCGGCAAAGGGCAACGGAGATAGGCTGCGAGACGAGAGCAGTAAGCTTCATATCTTGGCTAAATTGAACTACAAAGCTCTCCTCGACCTTGCGACGACGCTCACCCGGCAACGCTGCCCACATTGACCACGGTACCCGAGCGCGCCTTGATCATGTGCGGAGTGACGGCTTGAGTGACGCGAATAAGGCCGAAGTACTGTTCGAGACCGGAGTGGAGTGAGTGTCAGCACCGACAAGCGCGACAAGAAAGCAAATCATCGCCATCAGCGTCAGCTCCATCGCGGCCTGGGGCAGGCTGGAGGTCAAATCGAACTCGATATACGCGAGGAGGTGTGACGGGGTGTGCGTGAGTGCGTGAGAAAGAGAGAGAAAGAGACTCACATTGGCATCAAATGTCTGCCTGTACCTCTCCAGCGATACTTCGACCGAAGCTCCCACGGCGGTATTCGTTCCAGCATTATTGACCAGCATATCGATCCTGCCCAGTTCCTTGATAATGTCGTGTATGGCCCTGTCCACGCTCGATTGGCTCGTCACGTCCAACTGAACCCTCCACACATTGCTGGGTAGGAACCTCAAGGATTCCAAGTTGCGCGCAGTCGCTACCACTCTGTGCGTTTCGGCGCTGGAGAACTCTTTCACCAAGGCTGCTCCTATGCCGCTCGAGCAGCCCGTGATCACGATCACTGGTCGCTCATCCTCTTGGAAGGGCGAAGGTGCGAAAGACATGATGAGATGGGAAAAGAGGCAGATGCGTTCGCTGGATGGGAACGAATGGATTTGGCGATGAGTGCGAACCGTGTAATCGGGAACGCGGAGCAGTGGGCAGGTATCCTCCGCGCTGGTCGTTTATACGAAGGTGAAAGTTTGCAGAGAAGCGAGAGATCGTTAGACGATGACAGTCAAGAGTGTCGATCGATCCGTTTGCCGCGCCTGTCATCGCGATTGCTTAATTGTCTGACACTTCTTGCAAATTCAACGCCGTCACGCTTTCAAAGCTGTCACTTTCAGGCTGGAATGCTAGTACACAACGTGCATTCACAAATTGACGATTCCGATTCTTGATTTTGATTCACACTCAATTCAAACTCTTGGCTAGCGATTCCGTTCATTTCTTAGAGAAGAGCTATGAGTTGTTACATGCGCGCCCTCCGCTTATTCAAATGATCACTATGGTGCTATGTGGAGCTACTGTATACACCAATGACTAGCCGACTTCACCGCGCTAGTCTACCCGGTTCCGAGATCGGACATGACGATCACAATGACTCAATGCTTCGATCGCGGTCAGCTTGTATCGGAGCATTTTGCTTGCGTGCCGATCTCAAGACTCCCCAGTCACAGTTATCGAACCCAAATTACGCAAATTTTAATCACGAGTCACAACAGCGTCTTGTGAGTGCGAAGACCCACACACCTCATCATAGCTGCCCCACAAACAGAAGAAGACCGCGCATGCATCCGTCACGTGAGCACACGGCCAAGCGGAGGGCTGACGGGCGAAATCGATCACGTGGCTATGAAAACATGGAACGAAGGTGACATGCTTGAAGCAGATCGCAGCGCACCCACGAGTCGGCGCGAATCGCGATGCTCTCTCATTTCAGCTCTGCCACTATAATCTGGTATTCAAGAGAACCAGACGGCTCAGCAGCAGCATCGCTTTCTATACCTCCGCACACTCGGCACCACCACACACATCCTCGCCTTTTTCTTTTGGCTTCGCACAAGCCGTCTGGCTCTGACTGATTGTCGGGTTTTGGAGTCTGATAGCACATCTAGAGCGCGCTGCCAAGCTCCATCACGACGCATCAATAAACCGTCATGGCTTCCTCTTCCTCCCTGAGCGTCCCTCTCGCTCGAAGTGCCCGTCCCATCTGCCACGCTCTTTCTCGATCGCGGGCCGCCTTCAGCACTTCAGCACCCGACCTGATCACGGGCAAAGGAGTGGGAGGTCGGATGACGAAAGGACGCAGGGATGATAGCAACAAGGGCTTCGAATTGGAAAAGATGGGAACTTTTGAATATGACGATCTGCCTTCTGGTGGGCATGCTGTTGTCCAAAGACAGAGGGAACTTCTCAAGTACTACAGATTGGCTGAACACGAAATGCCCAAATTGACCGGTGAGCGGAGCCTTGCCTCCATGAGCACGACCTGCCCTACGCAGTCATGCAGACGCATGACGCTGATTGCCCAACCATCGAATTCCGGCCCTTTCCGCTTCCTCTTTAGGCTTTGCGAAATCATACGAGCCCCCAAAAGACGAGGAAGTGATCCAAGCTCGTTCGTTGCACTATCAAGGCCAGATTCATCCCGCCGGTCGTAAAGTGGTAGTCACATCGCGCATCTCCAAGCTCTTGTCGTCGGGAGCGTTGCATTCGACCCAAGCGGCGCACAAGTTGAAATTGCTCGCATCGACGCATTTCAAGCCGGACGACCCCATCGATGCGTTTGCGCTCAAGTCTTCGATGTTGAATGCGAATGCCAAAACTGAACGGGGGACAACGAGGAACGAGGATGGGGTGATCAAGATCTCGTGCGAACGATTTCCCCAAGAAAGCCAGAACTTGAGATGGGCTGCAGAGAGAGTGCAGCTCCTCTGCGAAGAGGCCAATGTGAGTCGTGATGTCCAAAGCTTAAAATTTGAATTCAAGCTCACAGCTCACATGAGATCGTCTTTGGACTCCTTATCTCCCCTCCTCCTCGTCCCCAACGCCCAGCGTAATCCTGACGAATACGCATCAGTCCCGTTGGATCCGAGGCAGCACCTCTCCAAGGCTGTCAAGAAGGGGGGAATGCCAACGAGCAAAAGGGTCACCATCAAGGATTTCCCTCAACACTGGCTCTGAGCCGCATCGACACGCCACTGCAAATTTGCATCATGCTTAAACGTCTAGGACAGCTCTTCTTTGCGTTTAGTCTGGACTGAGACGAACAGGCGAATCGCGAGACTCGAACGTATCGTTGTATTGCTCAGGGAAAGGCGCAGGGCAGAGTGCTTAGCTAGGAAAACCACTAGTGGAACAATGTGACAGTGACATGTGGTGCAAAGTGAGCAGGGGCGAGGCGAGACGAGGCGGGTCGAAGCTGACTGATTTTGGGGCAGAGCATCCATGCGAGCAAAGAAGGTAACAGGACGCATGAAGTAGCCGTCATTGCGATAGCCTTGCTAGACTGTTAATTGTATGACTGCTGGTAAGGGTGCGCTCGCTGATACCCGCGCACGTACGGCGGGAAATCAGGAGGTGGCACGCTGTTGTCCATAGGCGCTCTTGCTTGCTGCATTGACGGATGTACACGGTGAAACGCGTGCTCCGACTGCTGCGGGTGAGGATGATGTTGCTGTGCTTGCTGTGCTTGCTGCGACGCGTGCGGGCGTTGAGCAGATGGATACTGCGCATGCTGATGTGCGCTTTGCGGCTGGAAAGGATGCCCTCGCGGATCCGCTGCGCTGTAGTCTTCGCTCTGAACGTATCCTGCACCCTTGGACCACTCCTGTTGTCTCGCCTGGATCGCTTGCACTCGATTATAGTACTGCTGTTCCGAACCCAGTCCATTGTGAGCGCTGGTGGAAGGCACCCTTTCGCTGGAATGGGAATCGGAGACACCCCGTTCGTGTCCCCAAGAAGGCAAGCCTGCTGGAGAGTAGCTATGACTCGATTCGGCCTCACGGTTGCTGTCGTCGTCCGTGCCATTCTGAGCCTCTTCGTAAGAAGAAGGAGAAAGATCGCTGTCAACATTCTCCATGTACGTGGCGGCAAGCAGTTGAAGGGAGTCGGCTTGGTCATAGCACTCCTCAAATGCTTGGCCGTACTGACGAAGACCTGAAATGATGCTCAGGATTTCTGGCCTCTTGAAGTGCGCCAGACAGTAGCCGGCTTCGCTCATGGCGACTTTCATGATTCCTGCTTCAAGACGCAGGTAGCCATTCTCTTGCAGAACTTGCGTGACCGCAGCCGTGCGCGTTGCCGCATTCAGCGCCTCGTCATAGATGCGGGCTTTGAGCGCCTGGGCTTCGACGATTTCAGGTGTGTCATTCTCCTTCCGCCGCGGCAGAAGTGGTCGTTTGAATTTGCCATCTTCTTGATGTTGCTCTGCCTTGCGCAACTCCGAAATCCCAAATTCTTCGATGGCTTGAAACATGAAGATCCACACGATGTGGTAATTCACGTCGGAGGCTGCTGCCGTGACCGCTGTCGCGAAAGACCAGTATGCAGGCCAGGAGGGCGATGGCGCGCCAACAGCGCCCAAGTGTCTGCTTCGCCATCTCTCCGCGTGGCCAATCAAGCCCTTCAACCGCAGGACCGACACGCCTTCCTTCGCGACTCGGGGCGTCCAGAGGGAGAAGTAGACCTCTCTCATCATTTCCACTTGGTCCGTCGCGGCGCTAAGCCATTTCTGTTGCTCGATCTGGGCCGAAAGAGGATGCGGTCCGTAATTTTCCGCATTTTGCGCGGCGAACGGTGGCTCCACGTCGTAGTCCTCTATGCTCAAGTGTGGCTTGCGTCGGAACATGGCAGACATGTGCGCGTCCATCATGCACGCCAACCACCATGTCATGGTGGCCTGAGATCTGACGCTGATGTCTTCTATCCTCGACACCGTCTCTTGAAGATGCACTCGCAATTCGATCAAGTGCGTGAGCCCGCTGACGACCCAGGCACCGTTGCAATTGTAGAGTCCGCGCCTTGTGGGTCGTATCACCTCTTCGCTCCCTGACAGGCCTTGGACTTGAGCCTTGCGGACGTCGTCGATACCTCGCTGCCAGAACAGAGCTTGGATGATCAAGCAAGCTTTAGCATTGTCCATGGTAGCAATCCGATGAGCTTTGTTGCGATCCAGCACCTCCTGAGCCTTGACGATCAGGTCTTCTGCTATGCGAGACCTGCCCACTTTGCTAGCGGCGGAGCGCGCGGATTCTGCATTGACGACGTCCCTCGGCGCCGTCAGAAAGTCACGCAAGCTGTGTGGCTCTGGTGGGACGCTCACGTCTCGGACGGGTTGACTTCGTGCCATCACAGCGTCTTTCCCTTCAGCGTGGGCTGCTGCTGCTCGACGCTGCTGTTGCCTTGGTGTCAACTGAGCAGCGGTTTCCTTGCGATCCGCGACGATGATAGGTGACTCGGAATACTTGGCCCCCCAGGCCAAAATGACGGCTAAGAGCACGTCTGGCGGGTTGCCTTCCCGATACTTCTGTAGAAACGCTTCAGCGTCGAGGACCGGGTATCGAATGTGGACCAGCTTGAAGTACGTGTCTACGAGATCGTTGCAAAGATCTTCTCTTGCTTGTGTTATGACCAGCCTGCTTTCTGCTGCAGTGGTCGGGCTCAGCCTGCGCACGGCGAGCGAGGGAGACACAGACCTGCCGTCTCTCGCGTTCGCGCGAGTGATAGGTACGCCAACTCCTGGGTCGTATTCGTTGTCCCTCAACAGGCAGAATCTTACCACAGGAAGTGGCAAGTCGTCCGCGATTCCATTGACACCCTCTCCGCTGCCGCCGGCGCCACCACTGCCAGCGCTACTAGACGTGACTATCGTAGCACCCCGCAGCCGCTTGGTAGGTCTCTTCGAACCGTTTGTGGCCAGCTGGATGTAGACTGTGGTGCATTCAATGCCTTTGCTTTTGCAATGCTGGCACTTTTGTTCCCCTTTCAGCTTCTTACATGCAACCTTTCTTGATCTACAAGCATCGCAGCTGGTATTCTGGCGTCGCTGCGGCTCCTTCACTTCGCCGGAGCCATCGTCATCCACTTCCCTCCGCTCGGCACTGCCGCTGCCACTCGGCCCATCGTGTCTCAGATCGTCGCCATCTGACAAGCGGCGCGTGCGAGGCATTGGCTGAGCTGCAGAGAGCTTGCAATGTCCGGGGTCGTGAGTGGAATACGCAAACACGCGAGGCGATTGAGCAGCGTCAATGACAGGTCCAAGGGCGAGGGTGGAAGTGGACGTGGAACTGTTTGCGGTGAGCGGGCGTCGATCTTCCGTTTGCGATCGGGTTTGATCCGACGACGTAGATTGCGCGATGTGCGCGTCCTCAAAGATAGGTGAGGTGGTGATACTCGCCGACGCGTTTGGATTGCTTTGTTGTGCGGCGGTGTCTACCCACGGCGAGGAAAGTGTGGCACTCGCTGCAAGCGGTGCGATTGGTGGCGTTCCGGTAGGCCAATGGGCGGCGCTGTCCACAATGGTCTCTGGACTGAAGATCGCTGGAGCCCTTTCTGCCTGAAGCCCAAAGTGCGCGTGCGAGATTGATCTGTCGGCAAGTACCGAAGGCGTCTGCAGCGTGCTGTAGACGCCGGTGTCAATGAGACTGCACGGCACCTGTGAGGGGGCCACCTGTTGCGCGATCGACGGAGTTCGGACGAAGTCCTGCGTTAGCAGGGCTGGAGCAGAGTATGGACCGCGAGGTTGCAAGGTCTGATGATTCGAAAGAGACCAACGCGGTTCTGTTGCTGAAACGTCCGTCGGTGCGGAGGCAGGAGAGGCTGAAAGTGAAGGGTGCTGCTGTATGGCAAGGTGGTGGTTTACAGACGGTTCTAGCAATTCGGACTTTGACCGTAGGTAAGTTCCGGCGTGGCTGAGTGAGGGATCGGATCCGCTATGCCGGGGGATGCGCGTTTGTTGCTGGCTGTACATAGGGCCACTGGAACCGAAGGGGCTTCGTGCTTGTACCAAAAACACGAGACCTCGAACAGAGGTAAGGATCTACGTAGTGTGATCGATGCCACTGTACTGTACGCACGCGCCTTCGCCCGCGGCTCCGAAGCTACGGTAGAAGCACCTGGCTACACTTGACCCAGGCCGCACACCTCCACCAGTGCGGAGCCGATGTTTTATGCGAGCTGCTGCTGCTGTGGTGCAATGCAGGCTACTGCGCCAGCCGTGAATCGCTTTCGAGCAGGGAGTTGTAGAGGTCTCAGACAGGAACTTTCGGGAGACTCTTCCGTACGACTTGCTTCCTGTCCCAGACTGACCACAATGGTCCCGGCTCAATCCTTACTCGTGACTGGTGGTACCTGACGCTGCGATCCCTGGACGAGCAAATTACCTTCCGCTGCGGAGACTGAAACAAATCGAGATCGCGCTTCTCGCTCCCGCGGTGCTGGAAGTGCACGCCAGCGGTGCGCTCCTTGTGCTGCTGCTGATCGGGGCCAGACTTCCGCTCGGGGGCCCAAGTCGCATGCAGTCTTTGAGTGACGCCTAGGCTTGATGGCCCGCAGCGTGATGCAGCATGCAGCTAGTTGCGAGATGCGGCAGCGGGACAACTGGGGACGGTGCAGAGCTCATGAGGGTCAGCGAACACCGGCAGGAGCAAACACCACCTTCGTGACTTCTCCAAGGTGCAGGAGTCACAGAGTGGATCACCGCAAGCGTCTTCGCACCCAGAAGCTGCTTCTTGGCATTGCAGAAACGGGCTTGCACAGGTGCTGTAGGCGGAGGGGCACCCGATTGATCGCCATATACGATTGCGCCTGAGCCTCGAGGGACCTTTGATTGGACCAAAAGCCGAGACGCGGGCAAGATCGAGTGGTCTCACACGTAGCCACTGTACCGCTATTGATGTGGATCGCATGGTTGGTCGCCTTGAAGGCTTGCGAGCGACCCAGAAACCGCATTTATTCGACCTGCACAAACGCATCAACACTCACCTTGATGCCCGAAGCTTAGATGACTGCTTCTCTAAGCTGGCCAGACTGAACCTTGAACAAAGAAAAGGCGACCTCGTGCTGCGAGACAAGTAGCGTCTTTCGGTGTTTGCAAGTCACCGACGATTCCGTGGCGAAGACCAACGCCGTGTATCGAGGCGGCACCGAGCAGAGACAAGTCAAAGCGCTCTACTCGTTCCGATAGGCGACGCACCTCGCCGTGCTGTCGTTGTGACCCCCGGTCCACAATATGCAGGCTGTTCAACCAGCGCCGAAGAGCTGATTCGCGGACTTGCTCGGACACCAACCGTGGCGCCTTTGTGACCAGCGAGCTGCAAGACGCGTGTCCGGATGCGGTCAGCGAGGATCTCTTTGTAACGTGTGGGATCACCGCACTGGGCTGCTCGCCCTCTTCGGGGAAGGCCTCGCAAATCATGAATGACGCTCTTCCACGTTCGAATCTACTTACGCCCTCCTACTGAAGCCCACCATGTGCTCACCTTGCAGCGTGTACTGGCCCCAGGTCGCCGAGCACTGGGGACAGCGAGCCTATCGGGTGCCCAAGAAAGTACTGTGCGAGGACTGGTGAGTGCAACCACTAGCGCGAGCTGCAAGAAGCGCAGTGCCTTGCACGACGGCGAGCGCAAGGAAGCAGCAGAAGAGGCTGTACTGTGTCTGCTTGGGCTTGCGGCTAATGCGGAATCGTGGTCGTTGTCGAGTGCAGGAAGGTGAGCAAGGGTGAGGAGGAGCGGGTGAGATGTGGATAATGACGCGGACCCGAGGAGCTCTTTAAGCGATCTGCTGGACTTTGTGGCGAAGAGAGAATCAATCAAAATAGCGTGCGCAACACTCACGACTGTTCGAATTTGGCGAGCGGAGTGCAGACTTGTCGAGATTAAGGTTGCGTATTGCTCAGCAAGAAAGCGGATCTGGGTCGAGATCTAGCCTCCCCATGGTCATGGCTATAGGGGCCGAGTTGAGCGGACCTCGGTGCGGCACACTCACGAGTCGCGATCGAGTATATGGCTAGACGTTGTCTCAGATCTTACAATTTGAGTCCGAACAAGCGCGAGACGGCACAGCCATTCAGCCCGTGCCTCCATACGGTACATACATGTGCACCGCTTTAGTTTCGCGATGCTGTATCCATGAGGCTGGGCAACGCTCGTCACAACTTTTGAAAGTGTGAGACGATCGGCACATTCATTTGTATAGCGTTGTGCTACGTTTCCACTCCTGAATCATCAGACTTTGACCCATTTCGTTGCACTATAAAGAATTTGAGACACTCGTTGACTGTGACTCATCAATCACAATCACTAATGACTCTTATATATTGCTCCGTTGCACCGAGGTTGAAGTTTAGATGCGTTTAGCAGTTGACTCACGACTCACGACTTGCTCCACGCGCGGCTGACGGCTACAGCTGCATGCTGCTGCTGTCAGTGCTGTGACCTCTCTCTTGCGGCTGCGCGCAGCACCAGCAAGACTGTGACTGCATTCGCAATCTTGAATCAGAACTGACTTGACTTTGACTCAGCCACCGACGTCCACGCTTTGAGATCCGGCATCCGTTGTCGACATTCAATACCCCAGCAATTAAGATATATCGCTCTTAAGCAACGTTTCCGACACGGGCGGCTTATATCGCGCAGAGCGTTGACTCAGCAGTCGTGAGTACAGTGTCGAATGGAGCGAGAAACTCTTCCTATATGGAGGCATCTCAATGCGGGGTTGACATGGAGACAACGTTCGACGCAGCAGTATCGAGGTGGAAGTCACCAGTCGCAGTGCCTTCGATGCACCTGTACATGCCTATATCGATCCCACGCTTCAAATATGGAGGGAGCCATTCACGAATGGCACAGGACATTGACTGGAGAGCTGGCTGAAGTCAAGGAATGAGGGGGGCTCATTTAGATCCGACTCTGAGGTTCTTGATGAGATGATCACCACCCAAGCGCATCTTTCGGTTTGAAAGCTAAGTGACACAGCCCAGCCGCGGACCGACAAGAAAATGGCGAAAGCTCAGACTTTGCGGCAGTCAAGAGTCGACGGCTTCTTGTCACGTTCGGGATGCAGTCGCCGCAAGGCTCTTGCTCAAAGGGGGTTCAGGAATCGGGTGCGGAAGCTGCAGCAGCTGCCGTCAGCGTGTGATTGCGCGAGAGTCAATGCCTATGATCAAAATTGACCAGCTTCGAGAATTCTTTCAGCTGGAGCTCCGGCAGCCTTCAATGTCAACTGCTACTTTCCACCTTCTTCCTGCTTGACCCAGTCGAGCCATGAGCCGGTGTAGTTCCGTACGCTGCGCGAGAAGTGAGGTAGTCGCAGATTTAGTGACACTACAGTGACGCAAAGTGGTCGATAGAATGCAGCTGACAATGTTCACGGATCACCCGCGGAAGCCCGCTTATTGGGCGTACGATAGCAACGACGTCCCTCGACCTTCACAAAGTTCGAACCTTGCGCTCGCAACAACACTCACTTGTTCCAGCCGTTTTTCTGTGCGAACTCGAGAGCTTGCTGAGAGCGCTTACCGCTTCTGCAGTAGAAGACCAGCTTGTCATCAAATGCAGGTCGATCGAATGCATATTGCTTCCTAAAGTCTGCGCCCTTATTGGAGTCGAAAGCGTCGTTGAATTGGCTCAACGGCACGCTCACCGCAGAGGGGATGATTCCAGCTTGGACCTCGTCAGGTTCGCGCACATCGATGATGGTCAGGTCCAGGGGCGGAGCTTGGGTCAGAGGCTTGAGTTCTTCATACGAGATGGGCCCTTTTGCAGCCCATGCGCCTTTTGAGGAGAGCACGCCCGAGCTGTGAAAGGCACTCGATCGGTAAGCGAGGCCTTTTGGAGCGGCTGAACAGGAGCGCAGATGTTGCGACTGGCTCGTGTGAGTAGTGATGGCAGAAGTGCTCATGCCCTGAGGCTTGGCGATTGCTGCTCCTCTAGGGATTGCAACCAGCTGGGCAGCTCCAAATCTAGTGGAGCTCGCGCAGTTGCGCGCAGCTCGAGACGCCAACATGATGCGAATCTGGGCGCAGGTTGCGGAAGCGGTGCTTCAAAAATAGAGATGTGCCGCGAAGGTATGGAAAGAGTGAAAGTCTGAAGAATGATTCTGCTGTGATCGAAGGATTGGATGAAATTGCGACGAGGAGGGGGAAATGAGCGCGCTTTAGCGGGTTGTTCACGACCTGCAATAGGTGGAGGGAGGGTGCATGATGCGATCCGCTACACTTAGCACGTGAGTGCCCATGTACGCACCAGTCAAGTCTTTGAGTCTTGATCAGTTTTTGAGTCGTAAGTCGAGGCAAAACAGGCTCATGCTGGCGCTCCAAAGCTGACACGTGGCGAGCCCCTCGCGTAACTCCTTTGACTTCAGATGACGCGGAATCACGACACATCACTTATCACTTTGACTCACCATTTGGTTCAATCTTGACTCTTGACTACTAAGACCGATGTCACTCGTAACCGCAGCGGGCACGCGGTGCAACCTCAAACTATTATGATATGTGAAGATTCAAGTTTCGCGATCTGGGAGGAAGTGGTACATAGCACAATCAAAGAATGCACAACGGACCATCATCCCTCATCCTCTCAAATATGCCAATCAAGAATCTTGAACATTACGCTCTTTGTCACATGGACCAGAATGGCCATACCACACACGGTCAGCGCTTTCACAGGTGCTATAAAGAGATACTCATAACTGCGTAGCGTCCACGCTCAAGCGCCACCTACAAGGGTCGTCCTGAGGACTCTTTCGGAAAGCGTTGGTTCGGCGTCGATCGCGAGTCGGCGATCTCCTTCACAATTCAAAATTGAACCTTGGGTACTCTCTTTGCCAAGCCCTGAGCGACGCGTCGCAGCCTTGTTGACATCAAATAGGTGGCACATGGTGGTGTGCACTCGTGACTACCATCTATATGCACACAGAGCCGCGTGCGTCTCAACGTCATGTCTCAACGAGAAGCGCTTTACTCGTCTCAGATGTCGGGCATGCCAGCAGCTATAGGGAGACAGTGCATGGTGCACAGCCCGCAACACAAGGTGATGACTCTCGGCATTTAGCGCTCGGGTCGCATGCACTCGACTGGATTGCAGACTCCGCTTCAAGCCGTGAGTGCCTAACCATGTGAGGAACGAAACAGTAATCCGATCACGCCATGACTGCCGGCTTGACGGTGAGACTTAGCTCCACGCATCAGCTATTCGCAGCACTTGTGTCATCAACTGTCAAAGATCCTGGCTGTCGCCCGGTCCAGCACGGACATGCCGCTTTCCTGCGCTTTCCTGCGCTATGCTGGGATTGCTTTGCGACGTCTTCAGGTCATGTCTCTGCCGACATCAATAGTTCGGGCACGAAGCATCAAGCTTTGCCGCTGTTTATTCCGGGAACAGTGCTCCCGCTATCGCAAGCGTAGGCCATGCGACGATGCTGAGACTTTGTTGCAGCTGTCGCAGTGACAGTCGTAAGTGATGGAGTCCAATCGCCCAGCTGGCGTCTACGCGCACTGGCTGCAGGGCGGGTGTCATCTTGTCGGCACGCGTCCAACTCCGTTGATCTTCAGCGGTCGCATGTGCGGATGAGGTTAAGTCGCACACGCAAGCAACCTTCAATCAATCACTGACATTCACGATTGTACAGAGAGCCTCGTCTATCTCAGTCTGATTCATAAATTGCCCTTCGGTCGCAATGACTCGAGGGCAGAGTCGAGTCAAATTCGACCTCCTTCATCAGCAACTCGGCTGGCGCCCAACTCGGCACGCATGCCGGTACGGTGACGCGTATGCGCAGCGCTTCAGCCCGCACGCCAGCAGCTATAGGCGACCGGTCTGCTAGCTGATGCATATATGCGTGGACGGCTGGATGCTGCACACGCTGGGCGCAGTCGAAGACTTCCGGGCGCCCACCTTGTCGTGCTGCTGCACAACACGTACGTATACTCACAACTCCCACAATCGCAAGAGTTGATCCAAAATCGAATCTACCCCGAGTATATGCGCCAAAGACAATCTGAGATTGGCGCGCGGGTCTCCATCACAAGCGCAATGCCCTGCGTCTCAGCTACACCCGAGTGCACATCAGCAGTGGTATGCCATCGACGGCAAGGTACCGATATACTAAGCTGCGCTTGGCTGGCAGCACGGCGGGCCGGCCAAGGGCAGGCAAAGTCAGGCACGGCGATCACAGCTACACTCACAAATGCTGAGCGCCACGAAGCTCAATTCTGATCAAGACTCACGCCTCTTCAGTTCTGAGATGGCCTATTTCAGGCAAATTCCCAAGCTTGTTTCCCTTTGTGAATTCTGGGCGTACGAGGTGGATCCGCCTGAATCGCTCGCACACGCCCTTTAGCCACTCCCTATTCACAGGCCATCACCAGCACCCGACTGTCTTTACATGCATGATCGCAGCCGAACATCACTCACATTCGCTCTCACGCTCTCATTCCATACAGATCACGTCTTCGCAGCAATTCGGCCAGCTGCTGCTAGCCTTCACACCATCACTACGCTGGTTGGCGCTGGTCACAACCGTACGCTGCGGTCCAGTCGGCATTCTTCGTCATGCGAAGTCTAGCAATACACAGGATATGGTTCGTAACGACGATACTTGTGGGGTTGGTCCTCGCAGCCGAGGCGCGCACACCGTTGCCGACTGCTTCCAGCTTGCGAATGCGCCGTGTCGTCGGACGAGGCCTGTTAGAGCCCTCTCTTGCCCACCTGTCTCCTCGTCAGACTTACACCATCGACTTTTCGGGCCCCAGCAATGACGACAGTAGCTCTGGAAGCAACTCAGAGGGACCTCAACCATCAAGCGAAACTAGTTCTGAACCTCTGGGAGACTCTTACGACAACACTTCTGCCGCTGAGCCTTCCAGTGCTAGCAGCGCAAATAGCCCAACAGGAGGACAAGAAGAAGGATCAGACTCATCATCGACCACACCAAGCAGCGCCAGCGCTTCCGAAGGCGAGCCACACAGCGGTACGCCTGCTTCATCGGCCAGTGACGATGGGCAGTCTAGCGATGAGCAGCAAGTCCCCTTCTCAGGATCGTCAAATCACACTCCTCCCGTACCAGACTCGGCCACCGAGGAGAGTCCGTCAGTCAGCCATTCCCCTGTGGATGTTCCCTCTCCTGCTCCGGTGCCACCGGCCAACGTCACCACTGCGGAACCTTTGCATCCAGCACCAACGCCTCAGCCTCCTCCACCTCCTCCTTCTACGAAATCTGGGCCACCCCAAATACCCCCCGCGGCACCCGAAAATGTTCGCGCGATGCTGCTCGACAAGATACCGAAGGCCGCCATGCTTGGCAGCGACATTCACACCGCGTCTTGGCGCATCAGCGCCAACATACCGCCCATCATTTTAGGTCTTGTGAGTATTTCAAGATGGGCCGGCAGTCTTATGATACTTTGCATCGCTCACTCGCTTCCTGTTCTGCATTTCACGCAGATTGCAGCTGGGGTCTACCTCTTCTTGAAGTTGACAAATCGCCCTTTGCCAGGGTGAGAAATTTTGAGACGACCGTGCTCTACGGACAGACGAGCTCAGATGCGATCTATCTTCATTCGCAGCCCGGTGTGCTGGCTTTTGTGGTCCGATTGCCTGCTTGTGCCGGCTGCAGCTGTGCATATAGCCTCTGAAAGCCCCATCGCCAACGTCATCTCAGGACTGTTGACCAGTATCACTTTGACAGGTCACTTTGCGTTCTTGGCATGCCTGGCTGGCACCGTGCTGGCACCATCCATCGCGGAGATGGAAGAGAAGCAAAGTGAGGTACGCCGAGGTCCGAAAAGCCGCCTGCGAGCCTCACTTCACCGTCTACAACCTCCTGCGACCGATCCATCTACCTCGACACCGCTTCTACCATCACGAGCATGGCGAGGCCCCGTCGTCGCAGCTGTGGCGTGCACGACACTACTGACCATCACCGTCGGCATCACCAATTTCTTTGCGATGATCTTTGTGGCTCTCAAGTCGCTATCGGACGCCACTGGCGCACTTCGTGCTGAAGCTTGCCTAGCAGCGATCACGACAATCCTGGGCAATTCTCTCGCTTTTTTTGCCACGGCTCGATCGGGTCAGGCCTTTGAAGCACACAGGGCTCAAAAAGCGGCCGGCGCTCGCGCTCTGATTGGCAGCTGCATACTCGAATTTGGTATGTAAGGAATGGGTTTTAGGAGAGATGTCAAAGAGCACTCCTACTGACTCCTCCCTTGTCTGCAGCCGACTCGGCACTATCCATCGCCTATCCTTACTTCAACGATTCGCCTCTTGGTCAGCTTCTATTGCTGCTCTCGGGAGTGAGTTAAGTTCTGGCCCACAGATCTAGTACGATTCTGACATCATATTTCGCCGGATCTTATGAAGCTTTGCTTGATATTTGCAGCTGTGATGGTCACCTCCGTCTTCCTCCATGCGAGCCCACACTCAGCTCGTGGCGCTACCAGGACCAGCGCCAGCCCTGAACAACGATGTTCGCGTCAGTCCTCTCAGATGCCTGAACCTGTCCAAAGACCTGCCTCGGCACGCCCTCCACCCCCACCCCGCGCAGTGATCACGAGACACAGACAAGAGAACGCCGGGGTAGAGAACAAGTCAGGCGTCGATCCAGCGAGGATGTCTGCCGGCGGCCGTCATGTGCTGAGTCGTCTAATCAACCAAGTGCGCGGGCAGAACGCCACCCCTGAGAATCCTGCCCAATCTGCACCAAGACTCGCCTCGGGGGGCCTCGACGATTTTGGCGACCCCTTCGAAAGCCCTGAGCTGCCTATAGAGATGGACTCAGCCTTGTCTGCATCCGAGTACCACTATCTCGCCCAATTTGCAGATGGCGGCAAGGAGCCCTGCGGCCTCAGCGCTGTCACAGAGGAATCAGTGCCGGAAAGCGAGCAAAGCCAGTCGAACCTTTGGCAAGTGCGCACAGGGCCCCGCTTGCAGCCCAAAAACCAGGCAAGCTACTGGCAAATACGCGCAGGATCAACGCCTATCCGGGCTGGCGCGAACACGCCTCACCGCCGCTCGCAGGTCTCATCGAAGACGAGACCTGCCCATCCATCGGTGCATCAAGAAACCATGATGGCCTCCGAAGTCAGACCTTTGAGCCAAGTGACGAGGCTGTCCCAGATTCTCGCTTCGCCTGCACCTACTAAAATCAGATCGCCTGGATCGTCATTCGTATCGGCCGCATCTGATGACGACTACGCTGCTGGTGCAGTGATCATCTCACATCCAGGTGTTGCGCCAAGCGCCCAAGAGTATGGCGTGGCGCGAAAGGTCAGCTACAAAGCTTCGCATCATCGACACGATTCCGATGCTAGCGCTATCAGCGCGGTGGACCAACGCGACAGCATGACATCCCATGAGATAATCGCAGCTCGAGCACAGTGTGACGACGCGCCAGAAATGCCTGCCGATGCCAGGATTAACAGCGGAAGTAGATATAGCGGTGAGAGCTGGGATGCAGGATTCAAAGCCCGCAATGACGCAAGAAGGTCAAAATGGCGCTCGCACCCCCTTCAGCGTTCTAGCACAGGGTTGTCGAAACGGTCATCGATGCCATTCGATTCCCAAGAGTTGGAAGGATTTCCGCTGCCTCCGCAGGAAGAAGGGGTCCACGATACTTCTAGAATCGGCGACGAAGTGAGGGCCACGCTCGCAGACGCTGGTTCGATCTCTGGGAGCAGCTATGAACAAAACAGCCTCACACCCTCAACGAGGATCTCTGCGCTCTTGACGGCCGTTGGCTGGAATGGCAGTCGCAAGAGTGAAGGTCCAGAACCTGGAACAGCTCCAAGTGCGTACGGCCCCGACCACCCCGACGGCACGTTTATTCGGGCCCCTAGTCCTCAGCGGCAGTCTAACAGCACTCATCTGAGCGTTACAAGGTACGTCGCACCCTTGTCTGGCCACGCCGGCGTAGTTCTCGATGCTGACGTCCGCCGTTACACGGGATTGGCAGCTTCATGTCTGTTCTGGCTCGAAAACGAGATGGTCACACCGACAGCACACCAGCACTGGACCTGGGTCATGGCCCCAGAGAAGTTACTCGCCACCCCTTGCATGAGTGCACCACGGCAGAATCTCTTGTGCGCCCCTTGAACACTACCTCCAGCATTAGTCGTCCAGATGCGCTCTCAAAGGTAGCCTACGACACATCAGGCGCCGGCGCAGGTCGTCCAATGAGTGCAGTGCCAGAGGTGCGCGAGGTGGCTGCTCGTATAGACCAGCCTTACAGCAATGCAAATTTGGGCACAGCAGATAGGGTGTCGGTGATACCTTCAATTGTCAGCCCTGCTGACAGCACGTCCAACGCGGCCGGCCCTGAAGAAGTTGGCGGACGGCCTAGCGAGCACGAATTGACCGTACCACGTGCAGCCCACATCGTAGGGGGCCCAAATCAGCTCGCCTGGCCAACCCAAAACAGCAAGCCCGCTGCACAGCTGCTGAGCCCGCAAGACGCAGACGAGAGTGAAGATCATCTGCCATCGTCTGCCAAGGGCTACATCGAGCGCCCGCTTCCGCCCACGCCCGACGGCAAATACACTGGACCACAAGAAAGACCTGGTTCTTCACGCTCACGCTCGGGATCGGTGAGGTCACGCGTCAGCTTCATAGGGACTGCTCGAGCTATCCCTGAGCCGCCTGCTAGTCCTACCATCAAGATTGAGCGGTGCCCAGAAGAGACCGAACCAAGACCCTCTTCCAGTATTGAAACTCGTGACCCTTCTTCTCCGGCCGCGCGTCTGCCCGTGCCAACGAGCTCTCAAGCAGGGCTCTTGAGCCCCGAATTCGCCGCTACACATAGGCACATTGGTGCCTAGTGCCATTTCACGTTTCTTTGAGCGAGACGACGACGAGCAGGCCTTACCGAGCATAAGCCCGCGTCCAGCATCTCGCCAAACCCAGCATCTCTACTTGCATATTCTCACAACATCGAGACATGTCCTTCTCTCCACATTCTTTCTTGCAGCGTGTCCGACACCTCTTTGCGATCCAAACTCAATCAATTTGCTCGATGCACAAGTCAGCCAAGCAGTGGAAGGTCCTTGTGATGTCTGTGGCAGGGTCCTCGCAAAATCGCTTAAACGCACAGCGATTGCACTTCATGGTGGTGAGGCAGTTACGAGTGCAACTTTACGAACGCGGCTCTGCACGAATGAACAAACACGAATGTGGTGATTGCAAGCCAGATCGGGCATGATGAATGGTATGACATGTTGCGTGCAAGCAAATAAGGAGCACACAAAGCAATGCAGAGAGGGCGGGGGCACATCGAGACAGGAATGAGTTTGCGATTGGGCGGGAGGGCCAACTAGGATGATGAGAACTTTCAAGATGGGTTCGCCAATTGCAAAAGGGCGTTCGGGCGTCCCGCTGGCTCAGCGGATACCGACGAATCGTCTCACAGCTCCTGCGCCACCGAGCGCTGGGCTGTTGGTCGCAGACCCGAAAACGTCCTTGGCACCTGGTGCGACGTGTCGGTGCTGAGAACCAGATCGACTACGAGGATGATGCGTGGTGCTATCTCCACTTTCAGAAGACGCATTCTCCTTGTCCTCTCCACGATGACCTCGACGAATCTTTTTGCTAGACTTTTTGCTCGGCTGAGCGTCGATCATGCGAGCTTTGCCTTTGCCCAAAGAGGCGCCTCTACTCGATTTGCCCACGTTGGCGTTGGTGGAGCCGAGAACTCCTTTGCCATTGGCGCATGCTACAGGCGGACCAAGTGGAGTCCAGCTATTCCCCTCGTTGGGAGAAGACAGGTCAAATACTCCCCAGGGAGACAGATCCGCTTTGCCAGACGCAGCAGGCGCGCTCTTCATTAATGCGGATGCAACCTCGAGCTCTTCCACACTGCGCTTGCGGCCTTGAGGACTGACAGAGCGTCTGTCGCTGGGGACTAGTGGCGAAGAGGCGAGCTCCATAGCGTCGCCTGGCTGCTTAGCGTTGCGCGACGAAGGCTTGGTTGGACTTGCAGTGGTGGCCGCGGCTGCGCTGCCGGTGAAGCCTTCGAAAGGTAGCGAAGCGGCAGCAGCCAGGGCGCTCTCGCGCAAAAGATCAGAACGAGCTTTGCTCTGGGTGCGCAGCGCAGGACTGGTCTCTGCAGTATCGCCTTCAGCTGCCGTTGAAGAGCCAGTCCGAGCAGGTGGGCTTCCTGCATTGCCCTGCTTAGGACGTCCTCCTGCGCTGTAGGGTGTCAGTCTGGTCTTCTCAATGTGGGGCGTCAGACCGGTCGAGCGCTGGGAGAAGGAAGTCGAGCTGGAACTTCGCTTGAGGCTTGCGCTTGCCATCTGCGAGACCTCGTCCGGCTCAGCCATGACATCTCGGAGTGGAGCTTGAGGCGCGGCGCGAGAGAAGTGGGGATCAATGGTCGCGCTGACTGGAGGAAGCACAAACCTCACACCTAGACCTTGCAGTCCTTGGCTGTGAGGCATGCCACCTTCGATTTGTACCGTACGTTCTCGTTCCATCTCTGCCGCTCGGACAGCTCTTGGCGTCCAAGAAGGGGCGGTCGCTGGAGGAGCCGTGTGTGGTTGACCTTCGAAGCGCAAGTCAGTGTTCCAATTAGACGAAGCAAAAGAGGCCGAAGGTGGGCTGGTAGGCAGAAGGTCTTCGAAACGACCAGACGAGGCGTGGAGGTTGGGAGCGCCGGGCATTTGACGAGCGGAACGAGGCATACCTCCGACCATCGGTGTAGCCATAGGCGAGTTCATGCTGAATGATCCAAGGCGAGGGGTCAAGTCTGTCGGAGATCCTTGCGCAGGGTTGGAAGAGCGGCTTGCAGAGAGGGACAAGCCCAAGCCCTTGATGCCCTCATCTCTTGGCATGTCCATCCATCTGCGAGCGCGGACAGCTTCATCAGAAGGTCCCGCCTGGTCGTTGGGAGTCGCCCAGCTGGCGCTGGGGCCCGGAGGTAGGGCAGCGTAGCCGATACGAGGAGCGCGGGGCACCGCAACGTCGGAAGAGCTACGGTTGTAGCCAGGTCGAGTCCACTCGGCCTCAAGTCCAGGGAAAATGCCGGTAGCGCTGGTCCTGGGCGCTGCAACATCCGCAGGGCATGAAGCTGGCACGATGTGCTCCTCGTCTTGTAGCACCTCCTTATCGCTTGGGTCGCTCTCGCCGCTGATCTGACGGTCGCGTATAGCTTCGACGGGAGGTCGGGCCGAGAGTGGAGGCGAGTCAAGGCCAGAATTGGAGATCATGCTGGACAATCCGGGAAGTTTGGTGCGCTGTTGGCTACCGTCAGCGAGACTAGCATCGGCGTTGTTCGATGCGGAACCGCTCGCGCCATGGGAGTTGATGTGCAAGGGTGACAGCCTGAGACCAGCGGTGACGGGCGTGGGAGGCAATCCGTCGATGGAGATGGGGCTGCGTAGACCGAGCAGCTTGGAGCTGGGTCGCATGGGATCCGCGTCCACTTGCATCGCGGTGCCTTTGGCATGCGAAGAGGCACCGTGGGATGCGTTGAAGGATGGCGAGGGCCATGGCTGAGACTCGGAGGAAGAGATGCGATGGGGAGAGATGAGGTCAGCTGGACGTGGGCGGCCAGTGCGCAGCTGCGAGAAGCTGCCGGAGGCCTGCATGTTGTGTGCAGTGCAAGGTGTAAGGGATGTGTGAATGAGTCCCCTACGTTGAGATTAGAAACAGCAGAGAAGGAAGCAGAGGCAAAGATGTGATAATGTCGTTCAGAGCAGTGCGCGACAATGTGCCGTCGCGAGGCAAGTGGGGTGATCGATTGATTGGGTCGATCGAGTGCTCTTGTTGAGTTGGCAGTTGGAGTCGTGCTCGAATATCGTCGCTGGATGGTGTTGCGATGCTTAAGAGGGGGATCTTCGGGCGATGGATGCAGCAAATGAAGCAATGTGGCTGAAGAGCAAGTCTGCAAAATATTAAAGGAGCTTGGGGAGGTCGTCAAAGGGCAAGGGCAGAGAATGGTGCGCAAGGGAGTGGGCAAAGAGGGCAATGATGGTAGGGAATGAGTCGTCGTCTCGTGAAAGTTATAGCAGTCGAGCGACGAGTGCAAAAGCGACTGGTGAAAGCGAGCGGAGAAGGGCAAGGATCTGGCCCAAGGGAGCAGAGAGGGGGAGAGGGGGGGAGAGGGCGATGAGGGCGATGAGGAAAGAAGCTTCGACGGGCGCTAGTGACAGCGACTTGCCCTTATGAGGAAGGCGAGGCCTTCCTTGCGGAACAGACTGAGCCACACAGCGGACAGCATGACAAGTCGCTGTCCGACCGTTGGGTGGACCGTTGGTTAGCCTAACGGAACATGCGCTCAGTCGATCTTGCCGCTCAAGTCGCGCTCAAGTCGTACGCTGCATGGCCTGCTTCTGCGCATCCTACAGCATGAAAGATGCGCCTGATTGCCTTGCAAGTCCGCCACGATTGCCGTCGGTCCATCTGGGAACTTTGAGCTGCCCAGGACCACACTCTGTGAGTTCATCGCTGGATCACGGCAGCGTTCGGAGCTCGGAGCATATCTGTGTGACGATGTGCGCGCCAGTCTTGAGTGCCAGATCCTCCGCCACCATGCTCGAGCCGAGACGAGGCTCGTCCAGAGTGCATGTGTCAGCTGCTCATCTGATTTGACCGCTACTTTGGGTCTACCTGGCGTCGATCTCGTAGCGAGCAAGGCGCAGCTACGGCTCAGACGCCCCACGGCGGGCGGAGAGTGGAGACGGCGAGCGCAGGTGGTGCGAGGCGCGCGCGTAACGCAATACAGCACGACAGGCACACGGCCCTCGATACTTGGCCGCTCCGCAAATCTAATCGGGCAATTGGAGATGCTGCCAGATGAGGCAACGATCGCGACTCTGAGCAGCAGCGATGCGCCCCGCTATTCCAAAGATGGCAAGGGCCAAGCTCGGGAAGCTGCCATGCGCTGCACCTTCTTCCAAAGGCACGCTCGGCCAGGCTGAAGCTGGTCATCCATGGCAGAAAGAGCAACAGACCGGTGCTCTGTGCGTGGGCCAGTCTATGTGTCGCGATTGACAGCTCAATCGCATGTCGATCATCGTCAAAACCCCGAACGGGCTCTTCGAGACTAGACTCGCGAGCGTGACGCTGCTGCTGGAGCAGCTGAAGGAAGGTACCTGTAGGTGAGATGGAGCAGATCTGAGCGGACCGGCAAACAGCCAACGTGGGCTGACGTGCGGTTGTAGGGTGAAAAGCTGAGGAGGGTGAGGGCAGGTGCACAGAGAAATGCTGCGCGCATTCCTCCGACACAATTTATTTTGAAATGGCGTTCTGTGCCGTTCGAGTGACGTGTGCTCACGATTGACGAGCGTCGTCAGAAGGTCTCCATTTTGGCCATAGGCACGCGCACAGGCGGGATCGGGCAAGTCCCCCGTCCCCCCCACCTGCGCCAGAAAGAGCATCACATACGGTCCAGATTTGGCGCGCGCGTTGCACTTGGCATGTGCGGCGCGTCAAGCGCAGGGCCGCGCGCGGCAGGAGAGAAACACGCGCAGCAGCAGCAGCTCACAGCGATGCATGAGCGTGATGGACGCGTGCATGAGAACAACACTGACATCCGAGCGCACACCGCTCAAGTGCTCATCCTCAGCTCAAAATGCGCCACCAATTTCAAACGCGCGCTCCGGACAAAGCATACCAAAGCTGGCCTCTGGCCCTTTCCCCGATACTGTGCCCCGTACGAGAGGTGTGCGAGCACGCGATGCCGCTGCTGCTGCTGCTGCTGCTGCTGCTGCTGCTGCGCGCGGTCCCCCTCGTGACTACTGTGGCTGTGCTATGCGGATTTTTCTCGACTCGACGTTCAAACTTGAAACGTTCTGCACGCGGCCCGAGCGGTCGATCCTTAAGCATCAATGGGTACTTTTTTCCATTTCTTCTTGGCTCAATATTCGGTGGCTATCCTTGAGGCTCTTGCGTCGGTGCCTCGAAGTGTGCATTACGATGATAAGCTCGAACGCAGAAATGTGGGTCTTGGCGTCGAATAGGCGCGGTATAGGAAGCGCATTGTTCATGCGACGATTGGTGGGTGAGGGGTGGAAGCCGCTACCGAGTCGAACTCACGCGACCAGGATGGGCGGTGTAGCAACTTCACTGGGATCTGCTGATGACTCTTTGCCGCGCTGACCACCTTTCGCAAGCACTCGATCAGTCGAGAGCAGTGCTCAAGCCCTTTCTTGAAGCGCAGTACTTTTGGAATCTTATGAATGCAGGAAGAGAATGCAGCGCCGGATTTTGGTTGACACGCAACGCTGCGTTTCGTAGCATCTGTAGAGGTCCTTATTAGAGCCCCCCCCCCCCCCCCTTCACTCATGTCTCACGTTTTTGCATGGTTCAACATCGAGATGTAATCGAGCCGTCAGTGGCGGCCCCTGCAAATCATATTGACGCAAAAGGCCTTTACGATGCTGCTCTACGAGTTGGAAAGATAGTCAAAGAGCAACATTATTAATGATACTGGAGCACGTGCTGCCTACACCCACGCACCCTCGTGTGTGGGTCGAGCGGTTCTCGGCCGCGTGAGCACGACCGCGCGCCAGCCGCTGCGAGGCGCAGCGCGCGGGAGCAGAAAGGTGAGCTGAAGCCGCGTTGCTTGCCGGTGGTGTGGCAGCTGCCACAGCTCATTGGTGATGCAGCAGTCGTGAGTGCCTGTAACTCGAACTCGAACTCGAACTGCTCGACCGACGTCCCGGTGCATGTTTCAGACGAGACCTCCATCACCTCCAGCCCGACTTCCTTGGCGCTCAAGTTACAGCCGCATATACCTGATGTACAGCATGCAGCTGTGATTGAATCTGAGCAGCGAGGTCGGAAGGTGTAGGTGAGTGTCCATCTAATACAGTCACGCATACCACACACACACACATCAGCAACCGATTCAAGATTGGGCTGCGAAAGCAGGGCGAGTCAAAAACATCAGCAACACAAGAATTGCTGAATAGCGTTTGCCGCCTCCCCTTAGGTTTCACTTCTTTGTGAGCCATACGCGCGAATCTTGGCGCCGCAGTGCATAATTTGTGGGCGCCTGTCCACACTGACTTTTTCCCTTTGCTGCACTCGCTCAGACTCGAGGCACAAAACACTCGCACGTACTCGAAAAGCTTCGCTGCGATTGCTGCTTCGCAGCTTATAGTCTACACCCCCAGAGGCACCCCAGAGGGGTACTGGGAAGCGCCTGGATTAGCAAGCACGCATGGCTTTTGGAGAGAGAGAGAGAGCAGGCAATTGGCAGTCTGGAGAGCACAAGTTTCACACATCGAGCTGGAACAGCGGTCGCTTCGTCGGGCGGCGAATGAGAGCATTCAAGCAGCCTCGTCAAAATGCCTCCCCGCACTCGCACCCGCAATCAGCAGCAGCAGGCTGCAGCCGCAGCGTCAGTCCCTGACCAAGTCCCCAACTCAAGTCATGACCTTGGCGCCATAGGCCCAGCAAGCACGCATGCCGCTTCTTCGCACAGAAATCGAGAGGAGCAGAATGAGCGGCTGAGCGGCCATCAAATGCAGAGTCCTTCGCAATCTTCGCATGGACAATTGGCGCAAGTCTTTGGCAGTCCACACGCTGAAGGTACACTATCTTTCCCCGATATGCACAATCAATCCCTCATGCTCCAATCCAACCAGTCCCAACCACGCCATCAGCATCAAGCTCATCAACACCTCCCACAGCATCCCACCCACACGCACCATCACCTGCAGCAGGAGCTCAGAGGCGACAACCAGTCGCAGCCTCAGGATTACACCGACACCAACTATGGCGGGGAGCTGATGGGCCGCTCCGACTATGGTGGTCAGCTTGCGGCCCACAGCCGGGCAGATCAACAGCAACCCGGACATGGGCACTCACAGCCGGTCGGAGTGCACAACGATCAGCTTATGGGAATGCAGCCACAACACGCGCAGGTGAGTATGGTCGCCATCAGGGGATCAACAACCTGTCTCTCCGCGTCGAAATCCGCTTTCGAAAGGTTTCGGTCGAGCTGATGGCACGACTACCCGAGCACACACGCTTACGACTTGTACTTCATCTTCGTAGCCTCACATTGGCCATACTCGCTCGGCTACACAGATGTTTCGTCCTCCGTCAAGATCACTTGGACAAGCCAGCGAGGCTGCTAACAGGCACCTGGAAGAGTTGTCAGCTATCAACACTGCGGTACGGCGGAGCGATGGGGGACACAATGCCAATGCGCAAGCCAGCGAAGGCCTCCTCCGCCTCTCTGGCCTTTCAGCTGCCCGGTCCGCAGGTCAACATGGAGCATTCATGAATACATACGGATCCAGCACGCCCACGTCCATGACGACTTCTGCCTCCTTCTCCGGCACACACACTCCATCGCTTTCGCGCAGCTTGTCTCCGACTAGCAGCATCAACAGCAGCTTCACCAATGGTACCGGTCAATCGTTGGCTTCCTCTGCTGCCGCTGCAATGGCAAACAGTGCAGGTGTCAAGATCAAGAAGAGGTTGAGCAACGTGGACCGCAAGCAGATCTGCGAGTATGCAAGGGATCATCCTCATGAAAGACAGGAGGTGGTCGGCAATCACTTTGGCGTAGAGAGAAGCACTGTGAGCAAGATCATGAAAGAGAAGGACAAGTGGCTTGCTATCGATGTGGAGCGCGAGGGTCATGTCGTCAAACATCGGTGAGTCGTCCGAGACCACGTGCCGCGCCCGTGCTCTGGTGCGTCGCTGACCTTCGCCTCTCGCATCGTGATAACCATCTATTCAGCAATGCGCGGTTCCCTGAGATCGAAAAGGAAGTCTGCGTATGGCTCGCAAAGGAAGCAAAGCGACCTTCGGACAAGGAAATTATGAACAAGGCTGCCAAGATCGCTGCCGCGCATGGCGAGCTGACGTTCAAGGCTAGCGCTGGATGGCTTGTCAAGTTTCGCGAACGTCTCGGTCGTCAAGGTTTGCGATTTGGTCACGTGCCTGCACGCAAATTGATCAACTCGGCCCTGACCCTGACCTCTCCAGGCGCAACTGGCACAGGTCAGCCCTACCATGCCAGTCCGCTTGGAAGCCCAATTGGCGCATCCTCCATTGCCTTCCTCGACAATTCGCACACTGCAGGCATCATTGGGCAGTCCGATTCCGCGAGCGGCATGCATACAGCCCCCTGGTCGAACGAGCCGCAACCTTTTGGTAGCGCGGACGCCGCGACATTCGCAGCAGATGACACTGCAAACGCCCAAATTTACACCCAGACGACTCCTCGAGCCTCTAAGCGTCGCGCAGAGACGATGCTGCATCAATCGTTCCCAGCTCCGATCTCTTCTTCTATTCTGAATGAAGCTCTTGGAAGAGACCATGGCACCCCTCCGCAGCCGGAGCATCATGTGCTCGGAAAACGCCAAAGAGGCAAAAAGGCACGCACAACTCCCGATGCTTCGGCAATCATGGCCATCAATCAGACGGACTATTCACCTTCCATGCCTTCTTCCATGTCCATGCCTCTTTTCGATCAACGTCAAAGCGATAGTGCCCTACACTTTGACAAGGCGCGCCGAGTATTAGAGCTCGCGCTTGGAACGCAAGATGGAAGCCACATCCAAATCCCGGCTGAGCTGCTGGAGCACTCGAGAGCTCTGCGGCAGAGAGACTTGCACGGCTCTTCCGGCTCCAACACTGATCTGCGTGATCAGCCGCACGAGGAGCCACGGAGCGAACCAGATGCCGGCCGGAGGCACACGCGATCTATGCAGGCGGCGCAGAAAGGTCATGCTGACGATCTCTACGTCGAAGAACACGCGGGGCAAAAAGTCGAGGCTGATTCCGGCCTGAGCACTCCGAATCACCCACACGACGACTCGGGTATGCAGATCGACAGTCGTGCACCCTCAGGCAGCCCCAGCGATGCAGCTGGGCATACGTCGTCAAAAGGCAAAGGTAGGGAGCAAAGTCGGGCTGTAATCGCCTCACTGGACCGTGCATTGCCCGCCTTCGGCCTCCAGCTGGACTCTTTCCACAAGAGATCTTCTTCCTCTTCGTCCTCGGGTGCAAGCTCGAATGCGCGCGTTTCTGTCAACGAGGCTCAGACATGCGTGGACACGATCATTCGCTTTTTGCAAGAGCACCCCAGCTTGTCTCAGAAGGCTGACGACTTCCTCTACTGGGGCACCCTGAAGGGCTACCTCAATGCGATGGTAGAGCAAGAAAGACACGAAACTGATGACCTGGACGGCGTTCCCACTTCGTCGCAGGAGAAGCGAGCCAACAATTAGCGCGCCACTCTTTGCTTTCTCAGACAAGACGTGGGCGTAAGCAGTGCAGCCACCCTACCCAGCTCGTCGCGACCGCTTCATCCCTCGCACAAAGTCGTTCTGCATGGTGTTGCAGACAAATCGCAATGCTTTGCTGATAGCCTTGCAGAGGACTGCCCCGATTGCTGCTACCATTTGCCTTGCGACCTGCGTCCTACGAACCAAATTTTCACAATTGTCAGATTTCTGCATTCCCCGCTTCGACCTCGCAATTGTTTCGTCTCGTTGCCTCTGCATTCACTACCCATCACACAATCAAAGCTTCACACAAACATTCATCCCTTTACAACCAACCAAGATGCACCAATGAGACCGTACCGTCAAACTCGAGCTTGCGGTTGGATGATCTGCGCAGACTTTTCGCTCGCTCCATGTGAAAGCATGTTTTGTACAGGATGTCTATCCGGGTTGTGAGACCGTGATATTTAGCGGGTAGTTGTAACTTCAAATCTATATCTTGAGGAGCCGAAAGCCTCGCTCAGGCTGCGGATTTGTTGAATCTCTCCTTCTCCGCATAGCATCACGCACCTCGATGGCATACGCGCCAGCAGCGCACAGAGCACCTGCAAGCACGATTGCCCCTGTGAATCCGATAAGGTGAGAGAACTTTTGCTGCGTTGGCTCGCCCTTTAGGAAAGCTCCGGCAGTAGGTGTGCCGACCAGATTTGCGATGGCCACGACGGAATAGACTGCACCCAGCCTCGCACCGTAGTGGGACTGGGGCGATATGCGAGCGATGTAGGCGGGCAAGAGGGAGACGAAACCTCCGGAGAGCAGACCGTACAATGCTGCAAAGGCTACAATTGCTCCCTCCCCTTTGGACGGCAGCCATAATGCCAGCACAAGCACTCCAGAGGCTGTGATGAGCGGCACGAGCATGTTCAAAACTCCCACCCTGTCCGCCATGATGCCCGGAATGATTCGAGCGGGAATACCGCAGGCGTTGATGATGGGCAACAAGTACTGCGCGAGGTTGGAGTTCACACCTTGAAGCTGGGCGTATTGTTGTATGAAAAAGAAGGGATTAAAGAGTCCGTAGAAGACGCAGAATGCGGATGCCGTTGCCAGACAGAAGCGAATGTCCTTGAAACCACCAACGTCGATGAATTTGAGGAAGGAGGACATAGGCTGAGGTCTTAGAGGCAAGCGAGTCTTCATGGTGAGGCATGAGAAGGTGAGACATCCCAGAGCGATGAATGCGCACGCTCTGACGGCCCAGCCGAATCCCTTCTCCGCCAGAAGCCTTTGCAGGATGATGGGAAAGATGACGCCTCCGAGACTAGATCCAGCCGCAACGACTCCCAGTGCGTATGCTCTCTTTTTTCTGAACCAATGCGTTAGCACCGCGAGAGCCGGCGTGAACACCATCGCGTTGCCAAGACCGAACAAAAGACCTTGTGTCAGAAAGTACTGGTAGGTCTGATCGGCTTGAGTGATGGAGAGCATGAAAGTGCTAAAGATGATGCAGAAGGATCCAAGAGGCATGAGAACACCGACGCCGTAGCTGTCGAAGATTTTGCCAACCTGATAATGAGGCGGGGATGAAGCAAAGAATCGTAAAGTTGTAGCGCGACTGGTCAAAGCTCCGAGTGTCTGCGACAGACAGCGCAGCGTGCTCACCAAGGGTCCAAATCCGTACAGCAGGAACAGTTGGATCGCACCGATCAATGCCACGACCGAATCCGTCTCGTGCGTTAATCGATTGGAATTGTAGTAATTTTGGAACACTCCGTAGCTAGCAATGCAAGAAGGAGGCAAGCACGGCCAGTGCGACGTGAGGCAATGTGACTCGTGCATCCTCTTCGTGCGAGCTCACCTGTTTGCAATTCCAAAGCTGGCGAAGAGCGTTGTTGCAGCACCAATAGCGACCAGCCATGCTCTCCATCCTCCATCAGGAACGTCTGGCAGAGCATCTGAGGTTGGCGTTTGCTGGGGACCTAGCGCTTTCTCATCCGCTTCACTTTGCCCAAGTGGCGATGTGGATGTCTTTTCTGCTTTCTTTGACTCGAGACGTGATGTTGCTTCGCCTCCTTTCTCCTCATTTTCCTCCGGAGACAACATTGTCGCGCTCGATGCCCGTCTGAGTGGAGTGTGGACCGCAGAGCTTTCTTGAGGCGCTGAGTGGGTCGCCAAAGCTTCCAAACCCGCATTATTCGACTTCATATCTGACATCCCTCTTGACTGTGGGTGTATGGCATGAAACTGTTGGCAAAGCAGGTCGGATGGTGGTCGAGCTGCGAGGGACTGTGGAGAGGCGATTAGTCTAATGATGGTCAGAAGCGTCTCTCTTCGTCTGTACGGATGCGCTGTCTTTGGAAGGGACGCGGTGTTGCCATTCACAAATTTACGAAGGTGACTCAAAAGAGTCTCATTCACAGTAGACCCCATGATCTGCCACTTTGAAGTGACTACAGTGAATGGACCCCTGGTCTTTCTGGTACAATCGCAGATATGGCTCTTCCGAGTCATACAGTACGCAGCATTCACAACTGAAACTCCCGCTTAGGCCCGATCTATTTCGGTCAAACCGCCATGTCCGCCGCGCGCGTACTCTACTACTCGTATCATTTCGAGCGGCTGTGCTGCTGACGCGCCTCGGTCATGCAAGCGCAGCCAAACAGCTCTTTTACCGCCCGCGGCGCCCCCCCCTGCATGCTGCTAGCCTGCGCGCATATATTCTGATTCACGATTCGACGATTGCGTGCGTTTGCTGAGGATTCGCATTTGCGCGGGCGAAGAGCCAAAATGTTGGAGCAGGAGCAGGAGCAGGAGCAGGAGCAGGAGCAGGAGCAGGAGCAGGAGCAGGAGCAGGAGCAGGAGCTGGAGCTGGAGCCGGCCGACTATGACTCTCAACAGCCTCGCTCATGGGACGCGGACAGCGTGAGTGTGAGCGATAGGAAAGGGAAATTGTTCACAGGACAGGAGTACCATCGTACCATCGCTCTGCTGGCTAGTGTCTACCTACGAGTTGCTTACGAGAGAGAGAGCCAGCATCACGCATACCACACGGGCGCGTCTACGTACCCCTTCCATCCTTCGATCGTCCCGTGCTGAAGTGTAGCGTCCGCGCAAAGCACAGTGGATCATATGATTAGGCGTAGGCGGTGAGTGCGAGCTTAGAGGAGCAAACGCTCAAAGGACCACCGCTGTCAAACAGCGAATCGGCCTGATGAGCGCTCCTCGTCAGACTTCGATGCTTGATGCAATCACTCTGACTCAAGACTGATTGACAACTGGCATAGATGAAGCACGTGATGCAAACTCGCTAATTGCAAGCGCGACGCTAATACTAACAACCTGCCGAATACAGTACTACACTACTGTATGCGTGTCACACAGCAACAGCAATGAAGAGGGGAAGGGTCCCTCCCCTCGCACAAGAGTCTCGCCCACAAGACCTGTAAACCCTGCCAATCACGATGCATTGGACGCTTGTCTCCTTCAAAGCTTTGAGGATAGCGTCAATCACGATGCTATGGCGCAAAGGTTGCGAGCGCGATCCACGCTGGGAAACGACGAGAACTTTCGTTTGCGCAGATATGTCCGCTCGAACGTTCTACCCTGCGTCTGGTTTCGATGCCATAAGGTGGAGGGAGCCCTCCCAAATGGGCGAGCGACAGCGTATGCTCGCAATTCAGGAGCCGCTCACGAGACGTGTCGAGTGCGAGTACTTGCAGCGCAACGCGCGGACACCACGTCTATGTATGTAGCTGCTGCTGCATGATGTGGACTCTTGCAAATTGAATCTGCACCGTTCAATTATTCTTGCCGAGCCGGCGATTTCGCATCGCGCGCTAGCTGTACGCCGCGCTGCCTACGCAAGATCGATCTGATGCCGGCGTTTAAAATCGGATCTCGAGCGTACCGCAACTATATAGCTGCATGACATGCCGGGTTGTATAGCTGGGTGGACCCTACCTGGCTGCGATCCAGATCATAGGCGATCGCTACGCGCCGAAGACCAGCGGCAACCGCCGGTGAAGGACTCATGGCTGCGACTGCTGTCCAGTCCCCTAGGCCTCTTGGTCACGAGTACAGCCGCAGGGCTGCTCGCATGGTTGGTCTCACCTCCTGCACTCAGGTGTTTGCAATGGAGTGTCCGGCAACTCACGATTTGCTGAGCGGCTCGTCAGTGCAGCTTGAATCGTCTCGCTGCAAGCTAAGCTATTCGGATCATACTTCAGTCGATGCCCCGTCTGGGCGCAATGTGCGAATCCCCGAGGGAAAGCCACGACAACGATCGCTAGTGGCGAATCATTGGCGCTACGTGGACTAGAGTAAAGTTACTTCCGGTACGTTTCAAGGGTGCCCCCTACAGCATCTTCACGGGCTTGGATAAAGGCAATGTTTTGACGTGCGCTGCGCTGTAGTCGTATGTTAGATGATGTGACTGTGCCCCAAATTGCGACTTGAAGGCAAGCGCATGTACGGCATAGTGCATCACCTCTTTGGAATCCAACTTCAGCAGGTGGTGGCCTGTCTTGACAATTTTAGTGAGCTGTCCACAAATTCAATGCTCTCGCATATGCATTGAGTGAGCAGATAGATGGGCTCTTGAGGTGTCTGAGACGTACCAAACCCGCGAGCACCTTTGCGATACTGGACAGACCACCGTCCAAGACATACTTTACAGAAAGCTTCCTTTCTTGGAAACCTCAACGCGGAGACGGCAGAAGGCAGGCTAGACGTGCAGTGGTGTCAATCATCACGTCAGAAGGGGTTGTCAAACACACAGCAAGAAGATGTGCCCAGCAATTTCCCTACTTAGCTCCCTGACTGCTTCGCACATCATGAAGCTCAGTATGTGACTGCGAAGGTGTGGTGATAGAGATTATGGCACTTTAGCAGCGTGAGAAGAGCGAGCAGGAGATGTCTCGACATCCCTTATCTAGGCTACTTGCAAGGATACCCAGATTCGGTCTTCCCAGAACGTCAAGAATCGAACTTCCTTATCTTTGTCACGCTAGCCACACCCATCTGCAATCATAGCATCTGACATCTCGTACCTTGTCTCGCACCCCAGTGCATTCCAACGTCGTCAACACAGACGAGTATCCACTGCTGCACCTTGCCAAGACGTGCGCCACTCCGGATCAGCTTAGCGTCACCGTCATGTCCCACGTTTCGGCAGTAGGAGCACGAGGATCCGGAAGCGCTAGCGGCTCCGTACCGAAGCGCGGGGCTGAAGGATCCAAGCCAAAGCTGGCGATTGCGGGGGCAGGAGTCTCCGGTCTGTACGCCGGCATCTTGATGCAGCGCGCAGGCTGGGACGTCGACATTTTCGAGGCGTCTGCCCGCGTCGGGGGTCGTATCCAGACTCACCGATTCAATGATGAGCAAGACAATTGGTTCGAAGTTGGCGCTATGAGAATTCCTCAATCGCCAGCGCACCAGATCGTCGGCGACCTCATCGACTACTGCAACGTTCATGGGGGAGGAAAGAGTCGACTTGGACCTCTTCAGCGCATCCCTTACGTTCTGGAACATCCTAACAATTTGATCCATGTCAACGGTCGTCAAGTGCGCTTGTGCGACCCAGAAGCCAAATGTCCTGTCAAGCTGGGCTTTCCCGATGTTCCTCCTGCGTACCACGGCAAATCGGCGCAGGAGCTCTTGATGGTAAGTGGTAGACTCGACGCAGCTTGGACTATGCTCGTGGAGACTTGGCGACCATCACGCGAGCGCATCGTACTGACCTTTCTTTCCTCCTTCGACCTGGTTGGATAGTCCGTCTTGCATCCCTTCATCGAACAATTGCACAAGGACTTCAACAAAGGTTTTGAAGAGATATTAAAGTATGACCACCTTTCCTTCCGGATGTATCTCAAGCAGATAGCTGGCTTTCCCACGAGTGTCATCGACTACATCGAGGCACTCTGCAGCCAGTCCAATCAGTACGATCTAGCGTTCACCGAAATCTGCTGCTTGTCGATGGACTTCTTCACTCCAGAATGGATTACGCTCGCAGGGGGTATGGACCGCCTTCCGCGAAGCATGGCGCACATGATAGGTCTCAAGAATCTGCACTTGGGTGCCCCGGTCACTACTATCGAAGCTCTTCCGGACGGCAAAGTCTTCTTGGCTGCTGGCGGGCGAGTAACCGGAAATGTGTACGACAAGGTGTTGCTCGCGATGCCTCCTGCTGCGCTCAAGATGATTCCCAACAGACCTAGATGGCACACTCGCAAAGAGCACGCTTTGCGAGCGATGCATTTTGAACCGCTCTACAAGCTCGGTATTCGCTTCAAATCGCGTTTTTGGGAGAAAGTCGCTCAGCCCTCGTTCGGTGGTCAAACGACCACGGACCTACCATCGAGATGGATTGTCTACCCAAGCAACGGCATCGGAGACCAAGGTTCAGGTGTCTTGCTGCTCTACTCCTGGATGACCGACGCAGCCGCTTTCCTGCCTCTCTCCATCCCAGAGCGTCTCGAGCTCGGCCTCAAAGACCTTGAGAAGATCTACGGTCCGCAGGGCGTCGACGTTCGTGCGGAATTCCTTGAAGCCCAAGATGCTGCTTGGTCATCCAAATGGGCAACTGGTGACAGCATGTTCCTTCCGGGTCGTGAGTGCATGATCCGCCTCAGTAGACCATTAATAAGACCGTTGCTTATCCTTCCCGCCACATCTCCGGATGCAGAATTTTCCACGTTGCACGACGCGGCTGGCCAAGCAGAAGGCAACATCCACTTTGCTGGCGAGCACCTGTCCAGAAGACACACCTGGATCGCTGGCGCCTTGAGCTCCGCTCTGTCTTCCGTTCGAGAAATGACCGGAGATGCAACGATCGAAGCACTTGGCCAGCACACCACGACGGTGAACCCTCAGCAGCCAGAAACATTCCGAGCAGACCCCGAACCTGCAGTAGCTACTGCACAGCACAATGAGTCAACTCGCCCTTCGAACGAGAGGTCGCTAGAGCTCCAACCTGCCCGCAAGCCTCCACTTGCAAAGCTTTAGACAAATCACGCTTTCACGCGACCGCCTATTGAATCACAAACGTCTCCTTTCAATCACATTGACTCACACATAGACACCATAGACGTAAATGCAATCCTATTGACGATCATGCGTTGTTCTTCCATAATGTTGGTGAGCGGACGTCGTCCTCGGCTGCCTTGGAAGTCGACGACTGGACGCCGGATTGGGATTCCTCTACGCTCTAGTCTCGGTCGATCGACGAGGCGGATGGGCTGCACTGTGCGAAGGACACTGGTAATCGGACCAACTTCGATCGTTCGCCGGACAAGAGGACGATCCTGCTCTTCTTGAAGTGTCAGGAGGTGAGCTGGATTTGATGCTGATCATCGACTTCGAATGGCGCGCATTAGAGCTCCCATTGCTCAGACCTGGAGCTTCTTGTAGGCTAGCCGCGGCATGTCGAGCACGTTTGACCGGTGTGATCCTCATTCCATTGTTGCCTTTTGGCCGCTTTTTGATAGGTCGCATCTGCGAGGTATCAGGCTCCGCTTGCTGTGCGGCAACGGTTGCTCTGTCCACCGAAGCGATTGGTGTCGTCTTTCCAAAAATCATTTTGACACCGTTACTGGACGAGCCAAAGTCGTTGGGCGTATATGTATTTGAGGGACTCAGTAGGCTACTGATCGTGGCCGCCGAGGCTCCCGCTCTGATAGTCAGACCAGCTCTGGGCATGGAGGGAGGTCTCATGATACGGCTCGAGGTAGATTCGTTGTTCCCTATTTCCGATCTTGCAGTGCTTCGAGGCTGAGTGAGCTGCCGCGTTAGGTGCGTCGCCGCTCTCGCCTTGCTCATCAAGGTTTGTCCCTTGCTCCGTTGACCGGCGCTCGTCACGCCTGCCTTTGCAGTGGACAGTCCCCTTCTCTTCTTCAGGTGAGACTTTGCTATCGCGTCGTCCACCACGATGCCTCTGGAATCCCTTTCCGCCGTGGCTGCCGCCAGACGCTCTCGCAGACGAGCGCTTGCTGCCTCCTTCGCTTCCTTCTCAGCGCCCAGTTCCCGCAGATACAGTCGCCTCCAGGAGGCGGGCGGCTCGCGGTCATACAACCCCTCCGCGTCCTTCCTGCGTACGGATGCGAGGTCCGCATGCGCGAGACGGCGCCAAAGATCTGCGAGTTTGACACGAGGATGGCAATTATGAGCAGGTGGCGAACGGCGATGGTCGGCCACAATCAAATCGCACCTTCTGTCTCTGACATGATTTGCTGCACAAGCGAGACGAGGGAGCAATGCGACTCAAGTGTCAGAAAGCACCCGCCGCTCTTCAGCCGGATGTGTGCGCTTCAGACTTACTGGAGAATTACCTTCGATCACCATCAGCTGACTTGCAGAGCAGTGTCGTAGCACTGGCCCCGCCAAGCTGTAAGGCATGGCGCCTATGTCTTCAACCACTGTAAAGACGATTAGCTTGGTCACTCAGCACGAGCGCAAAACGGGTGGGGATGATAAGGAAAAGCTCACTGTGGATGTTGCGGCAGATGACTGGATGCATGAGTCAAGAGGTGATGTCAATCGTGAGTCCGTTCCAACAGCTGCAAGAGCAACATTGAAGGTGGAATTTTCCCATCAGAAGCAAGGAAAAGTGAACTCACCCGTCATGGCCATGCTCTTGAGGCTCATCATCTTGCTCACACGGGCGTCTTGCCGCGCTTGCCTCTCGTGCGTTTCCTCCTCGGCAGCAGCGGCCATTGAGGCCATCTTTGAGCTGCCCTCATTGCCCAAGAAAGGAGCAATGTATGCGCCAGGCAGAACCTCGTCGAGGCTGGAGTGGGAAGACTGAGATTCGGTCGGGGGTGTTGCTGATTGCACTGGAGGCTGAGGACCCATCATAGAGGGTGGCTCAGGAGATCGTTTCCAATCCTTCATGGCTGAAATGATATAGGGCCAGCTTCAGTCGGCGCGTGTCAGAGAAGGCAAAGATGGTAGGCCAGAAGTGTGCCACCGCGTAGAGCGGAATCACGAATGAAGAATAATCATGAATGTGAATGGATGGAGCTCTTCAATAGGGAAGGAAGCCGCGCAACAGGTACAAGGTCCTTATTCGCGATTTCAAGATTTCAAGATTAATCAAAATACAAGCGCGTCCATACCGATCACGTGCCCTATATACGTATGCTTGATGGCCCAGCAGGCATCCTCGCCTAGCTGGTCCGCACCCACGTTTGACCGTCCAGCAAATCGTGAATCGAGCGCCCGGGCATAGTGAAGGTCATCTTCCAACACACCATTAGGTTGAGTACGTGGCAGGCAAGCGTCGGTGCCTAGAGCACGATCGACCGATTGCACGGACATATCGCGCATCTTGCATCCGCCATCGAAGACAGAAGAAAAGTTGAGCAAGCACTGTCCTCAAGCAAGTAAAGGTTTCGAAGTTTTGCGCGCGCTTGAAGCTGTACTACACGGTCTAGTGAGAGATTGAAGTCGCACAGCTGGTTCAGCCATCCTTTTTGGCGGTGTTCTTCTCACAGCTCTCCGATTATCGCCTGGCGGTGCAGAGCCACCAGCGCATGGAATACTCCGTCCTCTCGAATAGGGCGTAGCACCTTACCGAAACCCCTTGTCATACAACCTGACACGTCGTCTCTTGCATCGCCCGACAAGATGGCTTACGGGTCCATTTCACGACCGGGCAGGACGCATTCGCTGCAGCCTCGACTCTATCCTCTTCCATCTAAGCTCTCCAAGAGTGGCGGCGCACAGAGCGTGTCGCAGGATGAATGCTACGCCCTTACCCTGCCCTTCAGCGCCGATCTTCGCCCGCCTGTCGCACTCGAGACAGCCATGAGGCAGTGTTTCAACAAGTAGGTATTGCACTGTTGGTTCCTGAAAGTGACAAGACGTCGCCAACTTTGCGACGCTGAAGAGACGATCGCTGACGGCAGCAAGTCGCCTTGAACGAATAGCGAGCTGGAAGCTGGCAGTACGTACCCTCAGAGAGGTCCCATGAGCAGACAAGAATTCAGCAGCTACTTCTTGGCCAACGATTTAATTGTTGGCTTGCTCTTCTCCAAGGCCGAGTTGCAACTGCAACAAGTTCCGATAAATGCCGAAGCTGAGCCCGACTTGTTGGCCGAAGTCTTGACCGAGGCGATTCAGAACACGAGTGACAATGTGTTGGACTTTCATGGGCACTTGCCGACCTCAGGAATGGCGCTGCAGCTGGACGTTGCGAGCCTCATCCAGCGGGTTTCCACCGAAGGGACGGTCGACTGGGAAAGTCGATGGCGCTTTGCCTACTACATCAAGGTCGGTTTCTGCTACGTTGAGGCTTGCTAGCATGCATGACTAATCAGCTCTCTCTCCTTCACTCTAGCCTAACTATCCTGGTCGGTCTTCTCATCTCGTAAGTTCGAGCCCTGCAGAGTCAGGTCTGACCCGTCGCGATGCCGAGCTGACACGCTCTTTTGCATGCTGACTCGTCTCGAACCCTTCATGTTCCGCCATCAGTGCAACGCCGGGTTTCTAGTGCCTCCAAGCGCGAGAGGCAGTGGGTTGGGATCACTAGCAGGTCTGTCTTTTGTGCATTACGGTCCAGCAGCGGGCTACATCGGCTCCATCTTCAACCTGGTCTACGTCTCCAACGTAGCGAGCATGAGGATCTGGGAGTCTTTGGGCTTCGAACAGGTGGGACGAATAAGAAAGGCAGGCCTCTTGAAGACCGGACCGGATGGGACTGAAGAATTTGTGGATGCTTGGATCGTTCAGGGAGACTTCGACAAATTGACAAAGATACAGGAGCAGCGAGCCGCTGAGAGGCTCGACCAAGCAGCTCAGATTGAGAAGAAGACCATCTAGAGCCGAACCGCTTGGCAAGAGATGCAAGCTACTGAATAGATTACTTAGTTGCAAAGGTCTTCGGAAATGTAATTGATGTGTGTGCATAATGGACCCTTGGGAGTATTACTGGGCCACACCTTATCATTGCGACAGCATCTCAGACCCCGGTGTAGGATTGCAGATCTTTCCCTCCTTGCTCCAGTCCTCGAGCAAAAGTCTCAACCTCGTCGTCGCAGCATTAGCCGACTCGTCCTTGACAAAGCCAGCTTTAGCCTGTCGAATACCCTGCTCGAGCAAAAGGTTCCAGAGCTTGACAATCTGTCTTGAGTACACCTGCAAGAGGTTCGGTCCAGCAACCTCAAGCAGTGTAGCCCAGAGAGCGGGTGAGAGAGCGTGATCCGTCATGGGAGGCGTGACGCATCTGGCTTGCCATGTCCAGAGAGCAGAAGGTCGGAAGTGAGCCGGTATCAAATTTAAGTCGAGGGCCTTGCCAGAAGGCGGGATCGTGGGCTTGATCGTGATACACGCGCTGTAAAAGGCAAGAATGCCACACATTCTGGAAGTGAACTGTAGAGAGCTCTCTTCAGGCGATGCGCGACCAATGAGTTTTGCGTGCTCTGCGCTGTCCATGCTCTGGTACGGGAGAAATAGATGAAGAGGACGTGAATCACTGAACACCTCATACGCGCCTGCACGCTCAGCGCGACTCACGGCTGGTCGTTCCGGCACAAAACCCAAGACCCAGCAACACTTTTTCGTCAACCTGGCCATCAAGACCTCTCCAAGCTGAGTGTGCCCCTCCAACAGCAACCAGATGACAACTCGAGCCAAGGGAAAAGCAGTGTCCTGCTTGGCGGTCACTTCTTGCTCTGCCTGACGAATCAGGCATTTGCAGAGGTGATTCAGCATCCATGTGTACGTCTCTCCACCCGGAGAAGCGTCTCGAGCTGCGCTAATCGTGCTGCCGATGTCCATGGTCTACGATTCGAGCACAATATAGAGAGTGCTGAGTCTTCGCGACTTCATCCTGATATCCTGGATGGCAACTTACAATTCGGATGATCTCAGAGCGTGTGTTCGTGAGCTGACCAATCTTAGGCGTGATCGCGCGCTTCGCCTGAAAGCATTGCTTCCGCCAGACGGGATTGCTAGACACGGCAGGCAGGACCTCGGTTTTGATGCGCTAGATTGCGCAGTCATGCAGTAGAACATAAGCATGGTACGAGAGCATCCGCAATAGTCACAGCTGATCGGCCACTCACAGTCATCTCTCGACGCCAACGCTCCCATTCCACCTTTGCTTCTGTCTTCAAAGAAGCTCCCCCGCCTTGTGACTCTACTCTTGCAGCCTCCTCTTCATCCCGCTTAGCTTCTTGAGCCTTCGCAGCTTCCCTAGCAGCCTCCTCTTTCTGTTCTCTATCCATCTTCTCCTTAACCTCCTTCTCCTTGGCTATTAGCCTCTCCTCAGCTTCTCGCGCTTCTTTGGCTCTCTTTTCGGCTGCAGCTTGAGCGGCTCTGGAAGCTGCTAATCGCTCGCCTTCTTCTTTCGCGCGACGCGCCGCTTCGCGCTCTTCATGCTCTATCGCGAGCTCAATTTGCTGCGCAGCGAGGATAAGGTACGACTAAGAGATCAACAGGGGCGATGATCACTTCTCAAGACGAGCAGCGCGGCACTCACTTCCCAAAGCGCTTTTTCCCTTCTTTCGAAAGCTTCTTTCTCCGTCCTCTCCTGCTCTGCTTGTCTGAGACGCAGGCTTTCTAAGAGATTCGTCACGTCTTGGACATCCTCCAGATCCGTCCCTTTGTTCTGCTCCCGAGCAGGAGGAGAAAAGAGCAAAGCGACCGAAGCACTCCTCGACCTTTTCGCGATCTGCTTAAGGATGCTCCGTCTCTCCCGCTCTTCATCTTCGTCCCAGCCATTCGTTTGTGCAGCCAAGTGAACTCGTTGTTGAAACGCGGCATCCTCCTCCTTCGCCCTAGCATTCAGGTGCTGCCTCCGCTCTCCACCTGCAGCGCGAGGTCGAGCGGTAATGGCGGGTCGGACAGGCCATTGCTCCTCTTCGCTATCATCTTCGGAGCCTGTGGAACTCTGATCATCGATCGATCCACCTTCATTGCCTCGAGTGAACCAAGATGGAGATTTGCCTCGACTTTGCTGACCAGGACAAGAAGCAGCGTGGACGGATCGACGGGGGAGACTGGGAGTATCAATGGGTGAAGAGGGCGGCTCTGGTGAACTTGCCGTTCTTTGAAAGCTGACGGATCTGTCACGGCGTGCTGAGTTGGAGGCGAGTTTCGCAGCAGACGAGCTCCGGAGAGCAGAAGGTGGAGTGGTCAAGCTGCTGTAAAGCTCATCGCCATTCAACGTCAGATGAGAAGAGCTTGCCCTGTCGTGAGCTGCAGAGAGGCTGCTGCTGTACTCTGCTCCGCCATGCCGTCTCGGCGTGAGCGGGCTCTGCGATCCAGCGTGGACGTATCCATCATCAAGACTTGACAGGCTAGAGCTGCTGGAGGATGAAGAGAGGCCAACGCCGTATCTAACCATCATTGAGTCAGTGAACCGGATAAATGCGGGTAAAGCCGCGGAGGGATGGACTATGCAGCGCGATGGTCCGCGAGACTTGAGATTTCTTAGTCGGCGGGTCGATTACCGTTGCGATGGTCACGGCGAATATGAGACTGGCTAACTAGGCAAAGAGCGCAAGGCTGCCGAAGCAGGGCGAATTCGACGAAACGTCCGTGAGGATCAAGTGGACGTACTGATGCTGACGCAGATGCAGAGGCGAAGGAGCAGCTCGCGGCGAATAAGGCTGAAGTGTGGGGCGATGCGTGATCTTGGACGGATGTGATGACGAAGATGAACTCGAAGAGCTTGGCTATAGTGTACGATACAGTGGTTGCTGCATCGATCGCTCGACTCGTGCCGTGTAGCTACCGGTATATAGCTGGTCATGGACCATGAATAACATCCATCCAAGGCAGCACATGACGGGAACAAGCGACGCGGTGATTTCGTCCGCGAGAGACAGCACGTGACTTCTCTAGACCAGCCTCTCTCTCACAAGGCGAAGTCATTCACATTCTGATTCAAGTTTCGTGATTCAAATTTGATTTCTGATCAAGATCGACCTTGACTTCAGACTCATCAAGATTTGATTTGGACCTCATCAACTTGGACTCACTGCGACCAAAATACCGACCGTGGAGCATTTGTAGCTGCACGAAAGACTGCAAGGACTTCTGCTGTCCATCAGGGCTCTTCATTGGGAACAAAAGCTTTGCGCTGAAGCTTACTCTTTGGCGTGGGAACGGCAAGAGCCACAAGGGGCGTGTATTGCTCGCTGAGCTTTGGATTAGCCAAGATGATGGACAATTGAAAGCCTCGCCTACAAGAAACCACACCACTCCGGCCCTGATGCAGATGCAGCGCGGGATTGCGCTTGTGTGCTTGGCATCATGAAGCTTTTGTTCGACAAGACTGGATCCGTTGCGCACGTTCCGAGCAGGCTTCACGAGCGAGCAGCGAGCCAGGTCAAGCAGCACGAGCACGTCGGTCGAGAGTGTGATGGAGACACCGCAACGACCCGACAGATACCTCAAAGTTCTGTCGTGGAGGCAGATCCAGCTCCCCCCGTCCATGAGGACTCGAAGTCGTGCCCGCCAGTGTGGGCAGAAACGAGGCAAGAGCTGTGCGAGACGTTGCAGTACTTTCGCTCCTACCATGGAGGCTCTTATGCCCAAGGCGCAACACCCATCAACTCCGCGCTGGTCAATAAAGCTCGATCGAAGGCGGACAGCGTGTTCAGAGATACAGTGCCGCTGGGTTACTTGCTCGGGGCATACGGCAGTCAGAGAGATGCTTGGGCTTCAGGTGGCAGAGTCGTAATTTCGCACGGGCAAGTGATGCGTCAGACACCTGATCCGCGCCACTTCATGAAAAGTCTTTGACCGACGATCGCAATCTCTGCCCCTCAATCATGGTGCACAGAGGCGGGAAATCCGTCAGCGAACCTGGGGATGACACGATAGATCAATCCTTGCCTCCAGATGACACATCACCATCTTCGGCCAAGCAAGCCCTCCCTTCGCCAGCATCAGACCCAATTCAGCGCTTCAGGCTGGCAGACGATCAGAGCGAGCACGACGGGAGAGTGGCGGGACTAATACAGAGCTACGAGCAACGCAGGCCCATCGTGCTCATCTTGGCCTCCGACTATCCTCTTTGCGACTTTCAGCATCCTTGGCCCTTTGCTGTGCTTGGCTGGTAAGAGAAGCACAAGCGACTGCTGCCTTTTGTGCATCCCCTCACATCCGCTTCCATGGCCATTTGCCGAACTTTTCAGGTATCGGATCACACTGGCTTGGCCCGAGAAAGAGTCTGGTGTGGATGGGAAAGAGGGGCACGTGAGATGGAAGTTCCGATTTGAGGTGAGTGCTTCAGTAGGCACCCCCAGAAGTGGAACCATCGCACCTACTCTGACATCTGCACTTCCATGCTTGCAAAAGTGGATCGGCGCTCAAGGCGCGCCATGGTGGCTTGAAACGCCAGCCCGAGAGAGCCCAGAGCCACCAGCACCCTCAAAGGAGGTTCCTGCTGAGTCGCATTTGCAAGACAGTATTTTAGCTAGAGAGGACACGGTCGCCGCAAAACGGGCAGCATTCAGTGACGTAACCCGAAAGGTACGCCGGAATGCCGCCCTCATCTCTCTGTACACTCCCAGCCTGTGCTACGATCACTCGACGATCAAATGCCGAAGCTGCAACAGGGACTCGCCGACCGTCTATCGCGTTTGGTTGTGTCTCAATACAGGCTGTCCCAAATTTTGGAAGGTGAGCTTGAACAACGCTTGTTGAGCAGTGCGGTGTATCGCCTGGGCGGCTCATCTTTTGACAGTGGCAACAGAGACGTGATGGCGCCAGATCGCTCGATCCCGTCTTTTCCCAGCTTCGATTCCACGAGACCTTTCTGTGCACCACTGAAAGAGATCAAGAACAATTTCAGATCCCTTTCGACGTGGCACCCCCCCAGCCGAGCTCTTCTAGTATACAGACAGCAGACGATATACGAGGCTGGCATTGCCCCAGGTGTCATCGTCTGTCTGCGCGTCAGTTTGCGCAGTATCGGTTTTGTCCCACGTGCTCCAACATCAGGGTGCCTGAACTAGAGCTGGTGCCGCTGCCGCTTGTCAGTGCGCTCACGCCTTTGATCGAAGATGCAAAGGTGCATTCCCATGCTGGTATAGAGACCAGCACCCGACGCACTGAAGACGGACTTCAAATCACTACCTGGGCGTTACCGATGTGTCTGGGCGGCGGTAGAATACACGTCGTACAGCGCGAAGATGGCGCCGAAGTAGAGGCCGATGACATCTACATGCTTTCTCAGCGATCGATTACTTCGACAGGAGTGAACGATGAAAAAAGTTGGAAGGATGTGATACGATTCCGCAGACATCCTCTGACTTGCCATTCGATGAAGAGCACCCTGCTGAGCCAGCAAGTGAGAGCACACGCTGATCGCTACAGCGCAAGCAGGTTGCAGAGGCTGACGCTGCACACGTGCAATCGGCCCAGTTCACGTTCAACTACGGCGCAGAATACAAGGTGAGTATATTTGCGCTGTAGACACTCACAACCAGCTTGTTCTCCAGCTTAATGCTTCCAGCCCACCGTGCGACGCACAGCACGCCGTGAAGCTAGACACGACCCCTATGGAACAAGCGCCGCAGAGCGCCAAATCTGCAATGGCGTTAATAGAAGCTCGGGTGCGCGCTGCGAACCTCTGCAGCAAGCAAGAACCTTTCAATGAGCTGTACCCCGTTCGATACGTTGAAAGCCAGCAAATGAACTATCACGACGATGGGGAACCTGGTTTGGGACCTGTTGTCGCTTCCCTTTCGCTCGGAGTCACTGCAACTATGAGCTTCAGGCTCAAGGCTAAGTATGCTCGGGGAGGACAAAACGATGTGACCAAAACCATTCATCACCCCGAGTCGAGCACGACAGCTTCACATGTCGTTTGGGATAAACCGATCCAGGAGCAAGTCAAAGAAGAGGTCGGAGAGGTTGCTGGAGATTTCACAGAATGGCACACGACGTTGGATATGGAAAGTGTGGCTCAAAATGCCTTGTTGAATGCTCGTTCTGAACCCGAAATCGATGCAGAACAGCGTCTCGAGGCGATGGTCGAGGCAGAGTGCGCCATGTCCGAGGTGCCTCAGATAAGCCAACACAACCGTGTACTGCTCAGCGTGCCGCTCAAACATGGGAGCGTCTGCATACAAGAAGGTCACCGCTTGCAGAAATTTGTGGAGTGAGCGCGGCACGCTTAACCACTTGGAGCACGTTCGAGCTCAGCTTCGCTGACATTTGTGTTCTTTTTGTCTTGTGCGCACAGACACGCTGTCGAGCCTTTGTCGGCGACTGGGAGTAGCGGGGCAGGGGGACTGAGGTTTGCATTCACTGCTCGGGCAATCTACCCGCGCAAGTCGAAGAAAAGGCCGCGGATCAAACTGCTGCTAAAGCCAAAGCCAGAGCACGAGGAGGTGGAGAGCGCTGCCTCACGGCAGCAGCAGCAGCAGCGGCAGCAGCCGTCCCCCGGCCAGCAGCAACCGACAGCGCTTGAGCAGAAGACATCGTTACCTTGCAAGAGATTGGGGAATGACTACGAGAAGAAGCTGCATCGGAAGAAGAAGAAGACGACGGGTCTGCACAAGATGCCGAAGGACCTCATGAAGATCTCTTCGTTTGTGCTGGGCAGCACGCGCCGGCCGACATGAATCACGGAGCCTTTCTGGCCGCACCCGTCGCAGGCCCGCAGAAGCCTTCAGCTTTTCACGCTCTGGTGGTCCGAAATTTGTCCGGGGGAACTTCAACGAAGTGTGAATATTTGTGTTAGGGGTCAAGGAGCTCGAAGATGACCCTGGCAAGTGCCTCCGCTGCAGTGCGCGACGAGAATGACATTGCCTGTTGATGAGCGAGCTGTCTCTCCCTTTTAGCTGGTGGATAAAACCTCCTTCGCTATTCTGCAAAGAGCGGCGGTCTCAAAGTCGGGCATGTGCGAGCAAGCATCTTGCCCCAAGATCAGCATGGGCCCACTTGCGGTGTTTTGAAGATGCCAAATCGCGTCGAGTGTGAATCACATCAGGAGACATTCGTTCCGACTAGGCATCTGCTACGTTGCATCTTTCATGACTGAGTACCTGTCTCGTGTCAATCGGCAACTTTCAGCTCTGCCATTTCCAACAGGTGTCTGCAATCTTGCCTCCACCTCAACAGATCCACCGCCTTGTCCCTCGCCACCCACACGCGTTTTCTCTCCCGCGTCTCCGGCCAATCATCCAGCACACCTGAAATGCCATCGATCAAGACCTCGTGCGATTCGTAGATTGCGCGAGGAACGAAATCGGAGGAGTTGGGATCGGAGACGGGAGATTTCTTGTGCGCTTTCAGGTCGGATACTGTCTGGGCATGGGGCAGCGTTGCAGGCTGTGAAGGATGAGGTAGCAGTCCAGCTTTGAGGAGGATGCGGGTGATGCTTCACGTCAGCTCAGGGTTCGAGTCAATTGGCTCCATGTGAGCAGCGAACAGTCGCGGGACGAACCTTCTTCCCACATCTCTCTGATCGCAGCTGCTCTGCCCTGCTCTCCCTTCTCCACTCCGCCCTTTGGAAGAACCCACAGACCTGCATGTTTGCGACTCGAGACGAGACAGATCTCGGCTTGTGATTTGGTGAGAGCTCCACCAGACAGGGATGGGTACCGATATGGGATGGCGACTGCTACCTGACGCGGCTGGGAGACCATGCTGACCAGGTTAGAGTGACCTGAAGATCAACGCAAGAGATGAGTTGACAGTCTGACTAGATGCCTTGCTGCTCTGTGTCCATCGGAGCGCGCACCTTCTCGACGCTGACAACAGTCGCGACTAACAGTGTGAGTGTGTCGCGGTCGCGGTCAGGGCCAGGGTCGCGATCGTACTGATGATCGTATTGAGCAATCTTGGCTTGCACTCAAAATTCGTGACTCTTGAATTCGTGTCCATGCGAACTTTGCGTCAAAGTCTTTATTGAGTGCTTGAGTGCGAGTGCGAGTGCAACCTGACAACCAAACATGGGATCGCCTCCACCTGATGCTCCCGCCCCTCGCCTTGCGAGCTTCAATCAGAATCAAGATGCGCGCGTGCGTCACGTGTGCAGTGCCAAGGCTCGCGGCTCGAAGTGGCGGCCGCGCGGTGAGGGCATGCAGCACGCTTTGTATCTTGGAGACCCCCACACACACACAAACACAGCGCGGAAATCAACGCTGCATACGCCTTTCTCTTTTCGACCACAAAGACCACCCTTGGCCCCAACCTCGCCACTGTGGGGAATTCTTCTTTCCGTCACGGAAGCAGCTTGTTTGGCTGCTACCAAACTTCTCCGGTGACTGCACAAAGAACTGCGGCTGCTTTCGTACCGGATTCAGAACAGCACAGGGAAGCCCTCCGCTTGTCCGGCGCGAAGCAACGATCCTAGCTTTATTGCCTGCTGCACCTTTCTGCATCTCAGAAGTACCAGCAAGGCCAGCTTGAAGAGTTTACAAAACTACATCTGCGAGCTCTGGCGCCTGCAAGATGGCACGCTCGATCCGACTTGGTGCGCAGGGCGCAGGTGCAAGTCGACCTCGAAGTCGAGCTCAAAGGCTTCTCTCCATCCTCGCCTTCAGCCCGTTCATCCTCGTCCAATCCCTTTTTCTATTTGCCTGGATCACGTTGCTCCGCATGCATCTCAATCGTGACTGGTCCCGAGCCAATTCCATCTTCTTTCTATTCATCGACACTACGCTTTCCACCTTTTTTGTCGGCTCTGCCGCGGGCTGCTTCGCGATTGCGGTGTTCAAGAATCCTGGGACGCCAAAGTGGGATCAGGAGACCGATGTGGAGGGAGGACGAGAAAGAAGCCTCCCAGCTCGTGAAGTAGAGCGAGAACGGGATGGCGAGGCTGAGGCTGGTGCTCAGCAGAATAGCCGTCATCCAGGTATCGAGGTGGAAACTGAAGAGGAAGTAGAAGGCGACGGGGAATTTGAAGGACCCAATGCACCTTTGCTCTCAGCACCTGAAGGCTCGGTAGATGCCAGGGGCATGCTGGCCATGCGTCTCATGCCTGGTGCACCTCGCCTACCTTCCCGCACTGGCCTGGTGCAACTCGAAGAGACGCTGCAGAGAGCGGGTGCGAGGGGACAGAAGAAGACCACAGCACGGCTGGGTAACCTGCAGGTCAAGAGCAGCACAGGTCAACAACGATGGTGTGCCAAGTGCAATGCGCCCAAACCTGACAGAGCTCATCATTGCTCCACTTGCGGCGTGTGCATATTGAGGATGGATCATCATTGTCCCTGGTTAGCTTCGCGCTGCGTAGGTCTACGCAACCACAAGGCCTTTTTCCTCTTTCTCTTCTACACCTGTCTGCTTTGCCTATGGACGAGTCAGGCAACAGCACGAGCTCTGTTGGACTACGTCTCCAGTGAAAAGGATGGATTTGAAAACTCTCCCTTGAGCTGGGCCATACTCTTCTTTATCGCATTTGTGTTTGGTATCGCCTTGATCCCATTTGCGGGCTATCATGCTTGGCTCATCTGCAGAAACAAGACCACGCTAGAGTCGATGGAAGGAAGCGGAAGGGTGCGGCTACAAGCGCAACGTGCGCCAGGCAGAGAGAGCGTCACGGAGAGGCTCAGAAGGCTAGCTGCTGAGGATGAAGATCACAGGCCAGAGGAACACTCGACCGGCCAGACCTCATCCGACCAGTCGGGACAGGAGCGGAACAATGAAGAGTTGACGAGAGAAGAGAGGAAGGCGTTGAAACGAGCGGGCAAGCTCAACATTTACGACTTGGGCGCCTCGGAGAATTGGAAGTTCATGATGGGTCGACGATGGTTCATGTGGTTCGTGCCTACCGGAGAACCGTGAGTTGAGGCCCTCTACGAGACGCAATACAGCTCGTTTGCGGTCCATTGACGTTTGCTTGCCACATGTTGACATGCTATTCCTTTGCGGCGAATGCCCCCAGAGACTCGGACGGGCACGCATATGCGGTCAACGATATCACGCTCGCTGAATTGAGGAGGATCACTTCTTCGATCCGGCAAAGAGGAGCATCGACGCCCGCCAACGCTTCTTCAAGCTTATTTCACATTTCCTCTATCCGAGGCAAGGCACGAGAATCGCCTCTTCATTCTTCCCGCAACAAGGTTCAAAGCAATCCCCTCTCGGACTCGCCTGGTCCCGCTGCGACGCGTCAACCACGCGGTCCTGCGAGGAGCGCTCATGGCGTCGTAGAGTGGGGCGCTCCACCTAGAAAAGATTTCGTGCTTTACGATGTCAACGATTCGGACGACGAAGGTGGAGGTCTGGGAACACCAGGCGAAGCGGACGAGGTATCGGTTTCCCTTTCACGCGATCCTTTTGCGCCCGCGACCGACGATCACCAGACATCTGTGGGAGGGGACAATGTTTGGAGGTGACATTCGATGGTTTTCTTGCGCACGTGTTTTGCCCTTTGCACGGGACACGAAGCCTTGATCGATGCGCCGAACCCCGAGCTTTCGAATTGCGCGTTCTTGAACCGAAGCGCCATTTTTTGGTGTAAGGGGCTCTGCCAGCAGACGATAGCAAGTCATGCTGAAAGATGTTGAAGCGAGATGTTCACGCATTCGTCCGAGTCTCAAGCAAGACTTGACTCGGCCGCGCACCAATATTGTGGACCGGGCCTTTGCCTGGTCAGAGGTCAACAACCGCAATCTCAGCAATGGCATCTCAAAATACTGCTCGCGTTTTTTGGGACCAGGATTCACTCACCTGCAAGTCCTTCCAATTGCAACCAGTTGCACACGGGCTCTTCCCTCCCACCCAGAGCATTCAGCAAATCTTGAGCCAACACGCCACCGAGTATGGCACAAACCGGACTCAGCTCGCCCGCATTGGCTGGGTCATGCGCTGCCAAGAAAGTGCTTAGGTAGCAAAGCATGGCACCGATGTTGAGCACTTTTAACAAGACCGGCAACAGAGCTTTCCGATTCGACAGCTTCTCTCACCTAATGAAGGCGTTCTTGTCTACACCTTGCTGCTCGAAAGCTGATCGTTGAGAGACTCCCTTAGCTTCCAGCAATTCATCGATCTCGCTCGTGAAATCTTCCACCCTCGCCGGCACTGTTCTTTGCCCGCTAGCAAGCTGTTTCGATGTATACCTCCAAAGTGCTAGGGTGCGGTTCAAAAGGCGTTGTCAGTGGGCTGCTATGACCTTGATCAGAGCTCCTCTGTCGGACTCACCCCACGTAGCCCAAACTCCGGGAGATATTCTGACCCTCTTTTTACCCTTCCAATCACTGGCGAGGGCTTGCTCCAGAGTCACAAATTCTTGTATCCTCTTCTGTTGCGTCTTCTCGGATGTTTGCTGAGAAGGCTGTGAAGCCTTGTTCCGCTCGTCGGGCGGTGGCTCTGCGGCCTGTGGCGTCGACGTCGAAGCTGCGGAGGCTGCTTGTGCACTTGGTGCTGCAGTGCTTCCCGCAGCTGCGGGACGGGTTACAATGTACTCGTGGCGAGGCCCGAGATCGGAGAAATAGAAGCCGCCAAAGCCTTGCGATGAGCACAAGTGAAACGGCAAGCCTAATGTTCGGGCCAGGTTGTTCAACTCGATCTGAGAGATTCCAGTCTGCGTCAGCTTGAGTCGGCAGCCAGTGGCGAAAGATCTTGCTCACCAGCCTTTCTTGCGTCCAGCTTGATGTCGAATTTGTGGAAGACAGAGTGACGACTAGAGAGTTCACGCCCATCTGGAGCAGCGGGTGTTTCGAGACGCTATCTTTGCTAGCTCGCAGAATGGAGAAGTCTGATGTCGTCTCCAGCTTGACGAGGGGGTTGAGGGCTTGTATGCGGGGCAAAGCAGCCGTCGCTCTCTAGCAGGTGGGATGGGGCGTCAACATGCGTCAAATAATCAAGCGCACTGCCGCAGGTCTTTCAGTGCTGCACCCACATTCACGCCAATCTCGTCCTCCCTCAGCAAGAACCCCGCGCTCAAGTCTGCGGGCGTGACTAGGCCTTCATCGAGAATCGTCACTTGTCCGACCCCGGCCAAGACGACATTCTTGATAGCTTCGGTGGCCACGCCGTGCAGATTGACAACAAAGATATGAGACCGACGCATACTGCACAAGACATCCCCTATGAGTGTCCCAAACACTGACAGGGATCTGTCGGTCACAACCAGCTCACCGATTTTGCGCTTCGAGACCCCACAGCCTGATTTGCCTATCATACAATGCAGCTTCATCTGCGAAAAGGGGTGCCGTCCTCAAGTTAGCAAGAGCGATTCGTACCGGCTGCCGTATCCAGCTTGAGCATGCCGCAGGGGTGGTCTGGCCCCGTGCGACGCCAAGGGGGGAGGGGTGCACTGAAGGGACCTGCAAGACTCACCTTCATCAACACCTTCCCGACCGTCGCGCGCTGATTCCAACACGACACTCGAGGACTTTGAAGCGTTTCCCCGGCCATTTAGGGCAGCATCGGAGCCACTAGGAGCATTGTTGGTGCTGTTACTGTTCGTGAGCGCGGCCACATCCACGTCGAGTGCGGTAGCGAGAGACATGATGGTAAGAGGGCTTTGCCGGTCGGCACCAGGGGACCGCAGTAATGCAGGTGATAGGCGAGGAATATGTTGGAGGGGGATCAAAGGACCTGACTTGACCAGATACTGTAGACCGGCGCAAGCTGTCTACATGCGATCTGCGAATCAAGCAGATGCGTGGTCAGGTTGCTGATGAAAGTCATGCTCATCAATCACTTTGACTCAGACTATTCACGATTGTGATTGATCGCCTGCGACTCCAGCTACCAGACTCGTGACTTTTGGCACGCCAGCCCCGCAGATTTTCAAAAAGCCGAGGCAATCGCGCTAGCAATGATGAATGGCTGCAGGCGCGTCCGTGCACCGCATTTCTTCTCGTGGCCGTGCGCCTCTACACTTGCAAATGGCCTGCAATCGCAGCTCGATCGTGGCAACACTCGATCGTGACTCACAATCTTGACTAGCAACTGCCCTCGCTACACTTGCGACGCTGGCGTCATCGTCATTTGACTGGAGCTGCCAGTCGGAGACCCTGTCACCACCCGAAAGACTCACTGACTGACTCTCAAGTGGAACGATCCAGGTCCTGAGCGGTCAGTGGCCAGGGCTAATCACGTCAAAACTCGCGACACAGGCAGCACCTCGCACACAGCAATCATGACAAGTCCCTCCCGTCCGTGGGAACCAGCGACGCAGCATCCTTTGCTGCGCATCCCAGTTCCGGCGTCCTTTCTTCTAAGTCCCTCTTACTGCATTCCGACGCTGCTTCTACGATTCCCACCCGCCCTTTTCCCAGATTTGGACGCTCTCGCTCGACAAGATCTGGTGCGCGAATGGCAACATCTCAAGCCTGACGAGGACGAGGTGGTCAGAGTGCTCGGCGATGGTGCAAAGGGCATAAAGTGGGACGAGGTGGATGTTGAGAGTCCGGTAGGATGGAGTCTTGCAAGGCTCAACTTGAATTTCGAGACTCAGGACAGCTACACGACTGCACAATCTACGAGCCAAACAGTTGTGGCTCAAGATGGATCCACATTCAAGGTGTCGTCAGATACCGATGTCGCGAGCGCCAGCACGTCTCAGTCTACCGACTCCTTGAAGGTTCCGCTGGCATTAGAAAGACGAGTGCTGCTGGTGCGGCTCAAGCAACTCGACCCAGCAGCGCTAGGCTCAGACGAGAGGTACGACGATGAGACACTCCCTATTCAGCTCAACGCCAGGTACCTGCCCGCATTTTCTGCTCAAGAAGACACTCCGTCAAAGTCCGCGACGGGAAGCGCAGAACATGCCTCAGGCTGGCTCAAGCAGATGTGGAATGTTGTGCGAGACCCCAAGAAGGGCAACTACCTTGATGTCGAGATCAGAAGACCCGAATTCATTTGGGAATGCGGCGATGGCGTGGATAAGGATGTTGAAGCAGGCTCCCAAGCAATCCTAGACGAGGAGGCACTCAGCGAGGAATTCGGGGTATGGTCAGCAAGTGAGTACTTCACCCGGTCACTGATAATGATGCTTGGGTTCGAAGAGTAGACGAGGAACTTGGCGCTTTTGTCTGTTACTTCACATTTGGCACAGGTGGTGGGCGACTGACGACGCTTCTTCTGAAATTGCAGGCACCGCCGACCTGCTCCCATCTCCTTACGCCCATTTCAACATTCACTCGTCCAAACTCCAGAACACCTCGACGTCCGTGCTGCGCCTAACAAAGTCATTTCACGGCGAAGGTGTGGCACCCAGGTTCCATCTCGCCTTGCCAGCCGGAGATAGCGATCTCTACGAGCTTGTCAGAGATATGACGGTTGGAATCACCATTTTGGCGACTGTTTGGATCCTCCTCAGCTTCAGTAAGACGATGAGGCGGGTCAAGACAGCCGAGAGGAAAGCGGAGAGGAGAGCAAAGGGAAAGACTTTGTAATGCTAATGTCAAATCGAGTCAACTTAGGTCGCGCCCCTGTCTCTTCGATTTGACCATGCATCGACGCTCACGAGGTGGGCATCGGCAGCTGCAGCGACAAGAGCTGCAGCGAGACTTGGTCTGACCAGTCCTCCACACACAACTCGCACACCTGCTTGCGATCACTCTGGCTCAATAGTGTCAAGCAAAAGCCACTCCTGAATCTTGAATCTGATTTGGTTGTGATTCGTTCGTCAATATTCTGTTGCGATATGATTAGTTCTTCTGATGCTGTGCTTTCAGCTCGGGACTCGGCGCCTGATAGTAGCCGACAGCCGACTGCTCTCAGTCTTCGCAGAGTGTGAATGTCCACATTTGCGAGCTGGCCTGGCTCGTCATGCCCGCGGCCAGAGTTGCATGGGATCAAGTATAGTCTACAGCAGTAAGTACAAGCACGGAACAGAACGGATACCAAGCAGATCCTTTGTGCACGAGTAGCGCTCGTACGATCTATGGGTCTGGTGGCGGGCGGGCTAGCTGACAATGTTCGAGATGTGTAAACTTTAAGACGTTGTTTGGTCACGGCCCGCGCATACCTGTGTACATTCAAGATGCCC